CTACAGTAGAATGACCATATTTCTGAAAAATAATAAAAAAGGTACTTAACTTCAGCGGTGCATACAGTATGTGCTGAAGTTTATATTGCACTTACTAAAAAGGTCACACACACACACACACACACACACCTGTTGTATGAGCCCCTAGGCCTAGAGAGAGAAAGAGAGGGGTTAAACAGGTGGAGATATATTTCACATGGCGACAATGTAAAGATTTTGTAGAATTGTTTTAAGCATAATTGCCAGGCAGCTAGATTGGCCATCCAGAACATTAAAGTATTAGACTCTAAAAATCTTTGCGTCCGAATAAATGGGAATTAAAGCAGCTTCATAAATGTTTGGCAGCGACTAATATATGAATTACGCTAAGATAAAGGTGAAAATAGTGGGAGTAGAACATTGGACTGGGATGCTCCATAAGACCTTCTCTACAAGTCACTCAATGAATGATTTTCATGTAAACTGAAGTGCTTCATGTTTGCATGACATATAAATCAAACAACAGCACCACCTAGCGGACACAGTCAGTCCTCTTGAGCTTTACACCATAGATTCCAGCGTAATTATCTTAAACTGTTGGCGTCACTTTGCTAGAAAAAGTGGTGGGGACCATTTTTGGTTTACATTACTTTTTTTAAAGTGCAGTGCTGCTGCACATTTGACATGTTCTATTAAAGGTTTAATAACATGTCCAAATGGCACATCTTGACACTAAACCAGTGTTCTTTCTGCACGCTATTTTTCTAAAACATTTCTAAGTTATACTTTTAAAAACTGATTGTTTGTTTGTAGCCTTTATTTAACCAGGTTAAAAAATCCCATTGAGATCAACGATCTCTTTTTCAAGGGAGACCTGCGGTACATTGGTTACACATAAAAACAACAGAAAACAAAAAAGGACATCACAACATAATTGATGGGGACAAAATTGGCCATTTCAAAAAGTGGTGGGCACATGTCCCCAGCGTCCCCAGAGCAAACGACGCCTATGTGGCCCAATATAACTCGGTTTGTAATGATTGTGTATGGTACACCACTGTGGCATTGTTTGGCTCTGTTGTTTTCTTTGCACAAAAATCCTTAATAAATTATGTTTGTTTTAACTGAATTCTGTAGAGGAATCTTCAGAATCGGAATTATTTACTATTGAACTTGGTTTATTGACAAGAAGAGTTCCATTTACAAGGAGGTTGCTTTTGTGTATGCTACTGATGCAGAGACAAAAACATCAGATTATCACATATCATCAAAAACAAACCCACAACCAGTTTTAATAATATTGGCCCAGCTGGAATACATAGGAACAATAATAACTCAATAAATACATTTATTATGATTGTATTATTAAAAAGGCAGGTACATACTGCACAGGGTGACCAGGTCCCAACAAACCAAATGTGGGACAAGGAGGATGTTTGTGTGGGACAATGTGGGACACCCTCTCAACACCCCCCCCCCCCCCCCCCCCCGTTGAAAATGTACGAGCGGTGATTATTTGCGGTACCGAGGTGGGCCGGTCGAGAGTCCCGGGCTGATTTGTAGTCCCAGTCCGCCGCTGCCCACGGGTAAATGTCTTCCCAGTCTTTGTTGTATGTGCATCTTCTTCTTTTCTTAGCTGTAGTTTCAGTTTCCTCCATTTTCCATAACCTGCTGCGTCGCCTGCGTTATTGACTTTCATTGTTGTTGTTTGGCGGGGCCGCGGCGGTGTGTGTGTGAGTGAGTTACTCTCATTGGTTAACACTTGACCAGCACGGGGGAAAGCATTGCAAAACTGGCCCCGGTAATGGTACAAATCTCAACCTGTCGTACAATGGACAGCTTCCCCCCCCCATCTATGTATATACTCGCATTTTAGACTCTGTTACTAACTGTATATCTGTAGACTTGGTATGTCTTAAATGTCCGGTTAGGATGTATTAGAACGAAATCTAAAATGAAAATTGTAAATAAGCCATCTGTATGTAAAAAACCACCTGTATGTAAATTGTAAATAAGCCATCTGTATGTCAAATATGTCTTAAATGATATGATGAATTGGAAATGGGGGACCCTGATGTAAACAAGACGAAAGTCTTTCTCTGGTCTGCATCCCCTTAACAATTGTATGTTTTGAGCTGTACTGTACTGTACCCAATATACAAGCTGTTAATAAACTTTTCAATCAATCAATTCAATCAAGCACCCGCCGTGTCTTACAGTTTGATTGACAGCAAACACAGCTCCGTGATGATAGCCTTCCCTGCTTTCTCAACAGCCATTGGATAAATCTGATTTTAGAAAAGCGTTTTAGCCAATCAAAATGAAATATGCGGGACATTGTCTCAATTTGCGGGACGCACCAAAAGTCGTGAAAATGCTGTGCAGTCCCGCGCAAAGCGGGACATCTGGTCACCCTAATTACACATGTATTTTCTCCTTGTAGACTTACAGACACTCACACCGACGCACAAGACCACTCGTTTTACTCCAACACAGATCAGAGCATGACATTAGGTATTTTCAACAATGCAGACATTTTTTGGGTAACACTTTACAATAAGGTACACAAATGTGCTTAGTTACTGCTTAGTTACTGAGGAACTACTAGGTAGTTAATGGTTAGTTAATGAGTAGTTCCTCAGGGACTGCGATTGAGGAACTGATGGTTAGTTACTGGTAAACAGACTGGGGGTACTGCATTAACGAATCATTCGTTAATGGTTAGTTAATGAGTAGTTCCTCAGTGAACTGATGGTTAGTTACTGGTAAACAGACTGGGGGGTACTGTATTAACGAATCATTCGTTAATGGTTACTTAATGAGTAGTTCCTCAGTGACTTCGATGGATGGTTAGTTAGTTACTGGTAAACAGACTGGGGGTACTGTATTAATGAATCATTCGTTAATGGTTACTTAATGAGGAGTTCCTGGGAGACTTTCATTGAAGCAATGGTCCGCTGCAGCAGGGCACTTTTAACCATCTTCGGCTGGCTTGGGTCCCACACTGGATCAACTGGTGGAGGTGGATCCGACTCACGTTTTACTGCTTAAGTCATCATTATTTACCTTACCATTACTTAGGCCGTTTGGGTACGGTAAACTCAAGGAACTCAAACAAAAACAGTAGTTACCCATTACCTAATGCTTACTTGACCATTACAAAAACAGTAGTTACCCATTACCTAATGCTTACTTGACCATTCATTAAGCAGTATGTGTCCCCTCAAGTAAAGTAAGGCATCAAAAACAGTAGTTACCCATTACCTAATGCTTACTTGACCATTCATTAAGCAGTATGTGTCCCCTCAAGTAAAGTAAGGCATCAAAAACAGTAGTTACCTATTACCTAATGCTTACTTTACCATTCATTAAGCAGTAGTTACCCATTACCTAATGCTTACTTGACCATTACAAAAACAGTAGTTACCCATTACCTAATGCTTACTTGACCATTACAAAAACAGTAGTTACCCATTACCTAATGCTTACTTTACCATTACAAAAACAGTAGTTACCCATTACCTAATGCTTACTTGACCATTACAAAAACAGTAGTTACCCATTACCTAATGCTTACTTGACCATTCATTAAGCAGTATGTGTCCCCTCAAGTAAAGTAATGCATCAAAAACAGTAGTTACCTATTACCTAATGCTTACTTGACCATTCATTAAGCAGTAGTTACCCATTAACTAATGATTACCTCACCATTATTTAAGCAGTTTAACAAACAAACAAACCCTGTGCACTCAAGTTTACATTTTTATTTAAACAACAATCCAAAGCACACTAATAACAAAAAGGAGGTTGCTTTCAGAACTTGTAAAAGCGGCGTATGTCATGCAGCAATCTGCCTAAGGGACCATCTTTGTGTTTATTTGCCAGCCAATGTGTCCACTCGATGAAAGCAAGATGACTCTTCAGAGTCTTCTCTGTGCGGTTTCCTCGCAGTCTCCAGACCTGTGACTTGTATGTTGACCAAGCCCGCTCAATGTTTTGGGTGTGGGCTCCTGTGACTGGGTTCACAAATGAACGGCTGTGGTTCACAGAGAAATGGACAAAGCCACTTTCTGTGATTGCAGTGATGTATGCCCTCCACATGTCCGTTATCACCGTGGTCCCTTGGCGAACGTATTTTGTGACCAGAGGAATTAAGTGGCGCCTCGATCTCTGTTTCACCAGCCTCAGGATAGGTCTTCTCCTTGTTCCTCTGATGCCCAGCATACCAAAGACCCATTTTCTCCTCCTCCACGTAGGACCGAATCTTCCCCTACCATACTGTAATAAAGCAGTGAAAAAGGACAACAAAATTATATAAAAATAAACATCAGTAATTTCAATTGATAAACAAAGTGAAATGTGTTTGTTATTTGCGTTCTTTTACAATTTAAAAATATTCACTTCCTTTCTCAAAAAGAAGAGAAAAATATTAAAATGTAGTGGTACAAACAGAAAAGGCTGTTTAATTTTATTAAGTTAAAGTTTGCTTATTTTGCTGCAAGAAACATGAAACGGTAAGATAGATATTGGAATTAGATGATATATAAATAGATTATGCCCTTTTAAAATGTTAGTAATAAATGTAAGAATATAGATTTATTTCCTTATTGATTAATGATCTGATTGGATGAGATACTTCTTAGCTTCTAAATTCTTTTTTTCTGTTATTTGACTGTGTATACAATGTGAAGCTGGCTCTCTCTAATGTATACTCTGTCTTGGAAGCCTAAGCACACCAGTCATAAGGGTGTGAATGACACAATTATAAAATTACATTACTTTGCTCAGTCATTTGTTAATCTCTGACCTTAAAAGATATGTTATTATTTCACCTTGAAAAACAAAGTTTTTAGTTTTAGTGAGGCCAAAGGCTAAGGCTCTGTAGTTTATACACACCTTCCTTTTGTGGTAGAAGTTGCTTTCGTCCAGCATGACAAATTCATTTGGTCCTCCAAGTCTTTGCTTTCCCCTCCTTTCTCTCCTCTTGATTGCACGCTTGCAGACCTTCCTCAACTTCTGGCTCATTTTTGACAGCGTGCGACTGCTTCCTGCCACGCCATCCTGCAGCATGTCCATTTGCCTTAGCTGCAGTCCCTGGGAAAATCTGTTAAAGATCAATATACAATTACTAAATATGAACAAAAACATATGAAGACGAACGCATTCAGCACCAGTGGCTAATGTATTAATTATATAATTCACATTAGACATTTGTTATTACTCAAAATGAAACAGAATATTTTAATGTTGCTAATTAATTGTATCTATCAAGTTTTCCTATATCATAGCATCTACGCATGTATTTTTAAACTATTAGAATAATCACACATTTAAACATTCTGAACCCATTTTTTTGTTGAGGAACATTTTTGAATGCAGGAATTTTACTGTAACAGAGTATTCGTACACTCTGGTACTTCTACTTTTACTCTAGTACAAGATCTGAGTACTTCTACTCAAGTGCAATATCTGAGTACTTGTGTTTTACTCAAGTACAATATCTGAGTACTTCTACTTTTACTCAAGTACAATATCTGAGTACTTCTACTTTTACTAAAGTACCCGATCTGAGTACTTCTACTTTTAATCAAGTACAATATCTATACTTATACCACCTCTGTTTATAGCCTATGAAAAAATTAGAAAACGAAGGCTAAAGCTAATGTTAGCAGATAGTGACAATGTATCCTAGTTAGCTAGCTCAACGATTCCTTAAATAATATTGCGACAGAAACATTTTTTTGTTCACATCACGCTCTGCTGCTCCAACAGGGAGCTCTACTCTGAACACCCGAACGGTAAGGCGATATGGGTCCGTTCTTATTGTGCATCCATGGGTAAAGGTAAAATCTTTATAGTCTATGGGTAAAACGCATGTAGTACTGAACACGTAACATGAACGTGCCGGGCGGCGCGGTCCCGTGGGTTAGATGCGCGTTCATAATGCCGAGGGAAATAACTCTCGAATATTGTCATCAGAGTCCGGCGCAGTTTGTTTGTAGCCTTTATTTAAACCAGGTAAAAAATCCCATTGAGATCAACTATCTCTTTTTCAAGGGATACCTGCAGTTCCTGGGGGCTTGGTGTGAAAGCGACGCCAATGTGCCCCGCCACAACCTCCAAGCCGCCTGCGTTGTGAATTGCCAAATAACTAGCATTTAGTCCGCTAGCTCAATGCTAACATATAATGGATAACGGAATTGACGCGCTAACTGAAATTAGCATTTAGATATCGGCAATGTTAAACAACAGTCCAACATGCTTAAAATAAACGTAATACTTACAGGCATTCATTTGCTGTGCTCTGAGGAAATGACTGATATTATTGATGAATTAATATTACCTGTAAATGTATTTCATCCAGCTGAACAAGGATAATTTGCTCCTCTCAAACAGGGACACACACCTCACTGACTTCTTCGTCGTTTTCCCTCTGTGTTTTTTACGTCGGCACTTCCTACAAAAGACCAATCGTAAATTCCTAGTCCTTTTTTCCTGATAAGAACTTATCTTTGTAACATGACATATCAGTAAACAGAGGAAGTCATCGTTAAAACCCGTGCTAAAAATGTAAGACTTACCACTGCAGTCCGTCGACGTTTGAGTGTTTCTCCAGTTTCCTCCTCTTTTTGCAGAGTTTGCATTTCATTTTTCCTTGAAGCAATTCCATTTTCATTAAAAGTCTGTTTGGTGTGCAGTGTCATGATAACCTAAAACCATAGACTACTGCGGCGTTACTACGCGTTACTGCGGCCTGTCCACAAACCCTAACACCCAGCGTAGTTCAAGATGTACTGCCGCTGCCGGGCCAGACCGGAAGTTGAAGCACAGCGAACTCCGCCGCGGAGCGCACTAGTGCCCTAGCACCCTGATCCTCATTTCTTGTTCACACGATTCAAAACCAATAGTTTTGATGTTTTGAATCAGGTATTTCATCTTCCTTGTTAAATTGACAAAGCACAGCTTCTGTATCTTCACTAATATACAATTAAAATATTAAAACCGTAATAAAGTGTTAATGCGCTGCAAATCGGGATCCGGCTGGAGCACTACGCAAGACACGCCCCTTCATAGCATTCACGTGCTACGATTGGCCATGAGCCTGTCACGTGCATCTCGGCTGAAAATGGACATGAGGAGAAGCAAACGAAAGAAGATGGGGTCCCGCAAGCGTTTGTTGTCAGAATGTAAGTATGAATTGAAATTTCTTTTTTATTTGAAAAATTAGTAACACTGCTTCGCGAAATCATCTCAATTGACACATGTATTACACTTTTTGTTCTGTGCTATCTGATTTGAGGTTGCTAGCTAAACCACGAGGACCCACCGTGACACAGTTGTTACATAATAATAATAATAATAATAATACATTACATTTATAAAGCCCCTTCCTGGAGCTCAAAGCGCTTACATGACATTTAAATGTTCTGTAAAGTTCCTTATACAGCTTTAGACTTGTTTTTATCTCATAAAGTCCTTAAGTGACACACCCTGAACAGTCTGGTGGGTCATGTGCTGGGCTAACACATGTGACAGAACTAGCTACATTTCAGAGGCTTGTTTTTGGTTGCTAAAGGTACAAATCAAGCCATTTAAGAATTAAAATGCTTACATAACATGTCCTTTGTTACATTTAACCTGTTAACATTTCTTGATCAAATTGATATGAAACAAATTAGATAAAAATCGCTGTGACACTGATGTCACATCGGGACATTAACCTTAAACTTTCACAGTAAATCTGGAGTAACACATATGTCACAATTAGAAATATGATTATGATCTGCTCAGTTAATTTAGCTGATCCAATTATATTTAGTTAATATATTCTTTATTCTTCAATTCAAAGAATGTTCAAACAAATTTAAATCAAAAAATCCTCCTCATTCATTAAGTTATAAATAAGAGTTACTTTAGCATTAAATGAACTTTAATGTGACATTGTCAGAAATGTGGTCTATTTAGTCTAAATTATGTTCCCCTTAATTTCCCCAAAAGTAGAAATGGGTCTGGGTTCTTATGGGTTAAATTAGTTAAATTGTTAAATAAGTAAATGACATTAGGGCGCTAGAAACGAGAGTATTTTATTTTAACACAGCATTGTTTTTTGCGTTCAAAATTAAAACAGGCTAACCTTTTAACGCTGATTTGGGTGACTTGTGTAATTCGTGGAGAACCGAAGAGTTTTCGTTTTGGGGGTGTGGGGGGTCCGACTCACAGACTGACGGACAACGGAACGCCGCTCCAGCACTTCAAATATTGCAGTACCCATAAGGATGCCTTATACATGCCGCAGTTTTTGCGTGGCTGTGTCTTTAGTTGTAAGCCCATTGGCGATCTGTTGTTATTAGCATCTGGTTAGCTAGCTAGCTATAAAGACATTTTTCTACAACCAGGTGGAAGAGAGCTCTCTCCTGACAGACTGAGAGGCTCAAATAACCTCAGCTCAGTGAGGTTAAGGCACACCTTGATATGATCACTATAGTCAGGGGTGCCCACAACTTTCTCAGTGAGGTACTCAGATGAGTACCTGGAGTCAGTGTTTGGTACTCCAACTTCTGGCGATTGTCAACGGGGGGGGGGGGACTACAGCACTTCGCGATTGGGGGGGGGGGGGGGGGTGGGGGGTGGTAGTGGAGTACAGAGCTTCGTGACCGCGGAGCGTGTGAACGTTGTGATCAGCTGTTTTAGCGCAGGGCTGCTGTACAGACCGACGTTAACAGCAGCCCTGTCTGTGCACACGGAGACCGACTCTGTCGTCCGGTGATCTCACCGCCTTCTGGAAAAGCTTCACAAGTACGTCGGTACTCAAATGCGCTTTGTGACACAAGTGACGGTATGCATTTCAGATTGTTGCCGCGCATGTACCTGCGTACCAGTTATGTGCACCCCTGATTATAGTTATATAAAAAAAAGAGACTAAATGAAAAACAGGTATAAAATACTTTGACAGTAACAAAAACGTTTTTTTTAAATAACAAGAATACAGTTTAAAAAGGGAGTGATTTGTAAAATATCCATAAAGAAAAGAGAAATCTGCTTACAGGTCTGTTTCATATGGGTGTGCACCAGATTGATGCATTTAACTTCAACATTTAAAAACAAATTTGCACACATCTTGTGTCCATATCTTTCTGTTTTGGTGGTCATGCCACAACCGTGTATGCATGCATGCGCGAGTCATGGTAAAATATCTGGATTAAGAGGTTGCTTTTTCTTTGCACAGCATGAAAGAAAGGCGAAATGAATGGGCTGTGATTTTAGTATTTTTAAGCAGAAATTGAGTTCAATCATTTGTACAGCCCTTGGAGAAAGTTGTAAAAATTGAAATGGCCCTTGAGAGAAAAAAGTTCCCCACCCCTGATCTAAATAATAATAAAAACCCTTGATTTGTAACTTAACATCTCTGTCTCCTATTGATCAGAGTATATTATAAAGAATAGCCAGTTAATTGAAGCATTATAGCTCAGGCCTTTGTCAGATGGTATATTACGCTGTTTTTTCTGTTTCGAATAGTTCTCTCTTTTTTCACCATACGTGTGTTTGCATCCCTGAATATAAGTAGGCCTATAATGTTAAACAGAACATGCTGTGATGTCGCTCTGTTCAGAGTGACACCAGTGTTTCCAAACAACTCCATCTCTGTTGGTCTCTGCACGCTTACATTAACCTGCAGTGTCAGATTTTTCAAAAAAAACAGGGAGAGCAGCTTCTCCAAACTGTTCCATTTAAAGGCTGCTGAGACATGAGGATGCCAGGCTAAAACTTATTGATGCGTTATAAATTAGAAACGGAGCAATCTCGATATAGCGTTAAATCCACATTGTGGATCGTCTTATCAGTTATCTCTATTAAACATGATTGGATAAAAGTAGAGCTGATTGCCCAAACCTAACTTCTGTATATAAAGGTACACACCCCAAACACAATAACTAACATTTAAACATTACTTTGAGCAAAGCTACACGACTAGTAATACCTTTACACTACACCAATTCATTACACAATTTTGTATGTAAGGATTACACTACCACTATATAACACTAGTACAAGAATATTATCAATACTAATAAACCCATATCCAAACTGATTTCTGCACTACAGACATCATTAGGATAGGCAACAACAAAGTACTGTTGTTAAATAGTTAAATATTTGTCTTTTTTTCTGTTTCAGTCCTGACCCCAGAAGACGCCATAACCCGCTACAAGCGTGTTCTTGAGGCGGTGAACAAGGGCAACAATAAAACGGCGGCTTACAGAGCGGTAGGAGTGGACCGCAAAACCATTGCCGACACTGCAGGAATTGCAGAACTGCATGCCGTGAACCCGGGCATCTTCCAAGATATCCGGGGAACACTGAAGAAGGGGGAAACCCTTCTCCGTTTCTCTGAGATGTGTAAGTCTGCCATAAAGGACCAACATTTAGAGGGGAAGGTCCAGGACTTAAAGACGAATGGAGGACTATTATCCATTAATCCAAAGGGGAAGTGAGGAAGGAATGGATGTTTTTTTGCTTTGCACTTGTTTTTAGTTTTTTTTTATAAAAAGTCGTTTTTATTTACATTTTTCTTTTTTTTTATGTTCATCCTTGTTTCAATAAAAATGTAAAACTTCAGTGGCTGTAGATCCGTCATTGTCATCAACAGTGTTTGTTTGTTTGTTTGTTAGTTAAACTGCTTAACTAATGGTAAGATAATGGTGAGGTAATCATTAGTTAATGGGTAACTACTGCTTAATGAATGGTCAAGTAAGCATTAGGTAATGGGTAACTACTGTTTTTGATGCCTTACTTTACTTGAGGGGACACATACTGCTTAATGAATGGTCAAGTAAGCATTAGGTAATAGGTAACTACTGTTTTTGATGCATTACTTTACTTGAGGGGACACATACTGCTTAATGAATGGTCAAGTAAGCATTAGGTAATGGGTAACTACTGTTTTTGTAACGGTAAAGTAAGCATTAGGTAATGGGTAACTACTGTTTTTGTAACGGTAAAGTAAGCATTAGGTAATGGGTAACTACTGTTTTTGTAATGGTCAAGTAAGCATTAGGTAATGGGTAACTACTGTTTTTGTAATGGTAAAGTAAGCATTAGGTAATGGGTAACTACTGTTTTTGTAATGGTAAAGTAAGCATTAGGTAATGGGTAACTACTGTTTTTGTAACGGTAAAGTAAGCATTAGGTAATAGGTAACTACTGTTTTTGATGCCTTACTTTACTTGAGGGGACACATACTGCTTAATGAATGGTCAAGTAAGCATTAGGTAATGGGTAACTACTGTTTTTGTAATGGTCAAGTAAGCATTAGGTAATGGGTAACTACTGTTTTTGTTTGAGTTCCTTGAGTTTACCGTACCCAAACGGCCTAAGTAATGGTAAGGTAAATAATGATGACTTAAGCAGTAAAACGTGAGTCGGATCCACCTCCACCAGTTGATCCAGTGTGGGACCCAAGCCAGCCGAAGATGGTTTAAAAGTGCCCTGCTGCAGCGGACCATTGCTTCAATGAAAGTCTCCCAGGAACTCCTCATTAAGTAACCATTAACGAATGATTCATTAATACAGTACCCCCAGTCTGTTTACCAGTAACTAACTAACCATCCATCGAAGTCACTGAGGAACTACTCATTAAGTAACCATTAACGAATGATTCGTTAATACAGTACCCCCCAGTCTGTTTACCAGTAACTAACCATCAGTTCACTGAGGAACTACTCATTAACTAACCATTAACGAATGATTCGTTAATGCAGTACCCCCAGTCTGTTTACCAGTAACTAACCATCAGTTCCTCAATCGCAGTCCCTGAGGAACTACTCATTAACTAACCATTAACTACCTAGTAGTTCCTCAGTAACTAAGCAGTAACTAAGCACATTTTGTGTACCTTATTGTAAAGTGTTACCATTTTTTGTAATACAAACACTTGCATGACTGATGACACGAGGGACTTGCATTGGAATAAAGAGGATGAGGAGGGGGTGGATTCACACTGTGGTAAGTTGGTACTCAATCATATTATTGTGTCCCATCTTAATGTTGCTGTTTTCTGATCTTGTTTTGTGTTTTAAGCTCTGTCTGATTTCCAGGTGCGTTCCATTTTCAGTTGGCAGACAGTATTGTCTAAAGCTGTTTTAGGCAAGTCTATGAAAATGAGTCAGTGTTTAGGGTGTGGAAAACTTTCAGTTTCATTTTTGATTTGGTCCCAGGATCCCAAAAAACGGGTGGACCCGGTTCTTTCCAATGTATAAACAAAAGTGTCCTTGTCCAAAGCAAAGATAGGCTGTAAGGTGTTTTCCGCCTGTGTTGTAGTCGTCACAGTGAATCAATAGGAATAGATATGAGCTTTATGTTGAACACATGTTTTCATGTAATGCATTATAAACATACTTAGAATGCATTATCTGTTTATAGCTCCAGTTATAAGCACGCATATATTCATAAAGCTTTGCAAAAATAATGCAAACAGTAATTAAAAGATTGTATAATGACTTAAAAGGTAAATTATCGTAATTTTTCATAATTGCCGGTCACTTGCTGACATTTTCTTGTTGTTGCAAGAGTCATAGAGTATTATAATTCCCAAATCCAAATCTTTTCAGAATGCATTCAGATTTTTCATGCATTAAAATGTGATTATTAATATAGGACTTGAGAGCATGACAGGTGCACCAGCTGCAGAAGTCTGCTGTTAACAACACATAAAGCGTATACGGTAGTCAATGTATTTGTTTAACGGGTCATTACAGAAATTGAGTGATACAACTTTTTGTCAAACAACTAAATAATGGACAAATACTTTTCACAAATGCAATGTTTTCCCAAAAGACTCAAGCTTAACACTCCAAATAGAAATAAAACCTGGTTACATTTCAACTTCACCTCTATGGCACAGTGGAATCAGGGTCTATACTGGAGATATAATTTGGCCACATACTGTATCTGCAAGATAATCCTGAAGAAGTCCATGAATGCATTTATAATATAATTAAGAACAAGGACTTAAGAACAAGACAAGTGTATGCACTGGCTGTAAAAGTCTTGTTTAAAAGACTTTGTGACTTTATGACAGATTGAATCTGCCCTGTCTGATTTTTATCAAGCCTTTACCAATAACGTGGTCATGTACAGTTGTACAGGGGAGGAGAGACACTATGGACGCTCGTGAACTGGCGCAACTTACATGATGCCGTTTAAAACATATAATAATAAAGGGACCGAGCCGGCCTTTCTCCGCAGAAAAGCGTTTTGGCCAATCAAAATGAAATATGCGGGACATCGTCTCAATTTGCAGGACGCACCAAAAGTCGTGAAAATGCTGTGCAGTCCCGCACAAAGCGGGACATCTGGTCACCCTAAGTGTATCGTTTACAGTGCTGGATGAAGTATTTTATTTAAAATAAAATACGAAAATGTAAAAATACTACAAGTAAAAGTCTTTCAAACTAAATGTTACCTAATATAAGGAAAAGTATAGGTTCAAGGTTCAAGGTTTTTTATTTTGTCATACGAACATAGCTATAGTGTAGTTATGACGATGAAAATCTTAGGTCATCTGATCTAACCAATCAAGTATGCCTAAAGTACTAGGATATAAATAACTCATTGTGCAGAATTGCCCCTTTCAGTAATATTTTTATTTAGTTTATACAATTATTATTATTATTAGTGCAATACCAGAGCTGTTATGGAAGGTTATATCAGTAGCGAAGTCCCTCCCCTTCCCTTTATGAATCGTTTTCTGCGAAATGATTGGCCGACTATGAAAGTACTTCCTGTAAACATTGACTCTGATTGGTTCCTCGTCGTTTGACGTTCCGGATGTTGCATGTTTTTTTCCGGCCGGCTCACCCATGGATGTAGGGCTCACCGTTCCGTTCTCGGTAAAATGGCAGAGGTCGGTCATAGGCTAGGGAGCGGGGCTTACCGGCTGTCCGCCCTCAGAAACAGCCAGAGTTGGTCGGTGTGCACCGGAGAGAGTCCCGGTCCTCTGCTGGTCAACTCCCTCAGTGACAGCCGGTGTAAAGAGCAGTCAACCCGGGACCAACATCATGAAGTTCAGCCAGTGTCAAGAAGCAAAGCAACACGACTCAAACCAGAGAAACTTTCCGGAGTGACAACAAGTGAAAGTCCACAGAAAAATGGGACTTTGGGCTGTGTCAGGTATTTGGAGCTGGATTCATCCCGGTTTATCAGAGAGAGACTTAACACTTACACAACATCCCTGTACCTCTCAGCGAGGCAGCAGGAGAGGCTGCTGCCCGGCAGGATGACATCCTGGAGCAGAGGAGCTGTTTTCATCCACCCTGACACCTTCAGGTCAGGGCAGGGGTCAGACAGGTGGAGGCGTCTGAAAGCCCATCCTAATACCATGCAGGTATCTACCAGAAGCTACAGCTGGAAGAGTGACCGCAGCTCAGAGGAGGCTCCCATTATGTACAGAGCAAGGACGACTTATTACGACATCCTCAGAGTGTCCCCTGGTGCCACACAGTCCCAGATCAAGACAGCCTACTACAAGCAGTCTTTTCTTTTCCACCCTGACAAGAACCCAGGGAACGATGAGGCCACGCAGCGCTTCTTTGATATAAGCAAGGCCTACACAGTGCTGGGAAACATTGGCCTCAGGAGGAAGTATGACCGTGGGATTCTCAGCAGTTCAGATGTTCACAGTGCAGGGAGACCTTCCTCCAAAGAGACCATGAGCAAATCCTCAGCCCCCCCACATCAGCAACACTACAGAACCAGGCAGTTCTCCCAAACTGGGAAGAAGGCCATGTTTGATTTTGATGCTTTTTATCAGGCTCACTATGGGGAGCAGCTGCAGAGGGAGAAGGACATGAGAGCCAGGAAGCAGCGCCTGCAGGAGCAGAAGAAGGAGAACCTCAACAAGTGGAAGGAGGGAAGACATTTGGACTTGACTATGATAGTGCTGATGGCCATGGCAGGCGTTCTCGTTGTGAATCTCAGCATATCCTGAAATAGATGCAGCACCTTGGCGGGTGCCTCTCTGGGGTTGCATGTTACAACTCTCAGGGAGGAGAAAGAGGGGGAGAGAGAGTGCTACCTCAGACTGTTTTGCAAGTGTTGCACGGTTTTTGACAGTTGAAGATGATTTTTTCTTGTGTGTTTTTAAGGAGCAAACAAAGGCTGAATCACTGGTTAGAGGCCAAAGATTGGTATTTATAAACTGTGTCATTAGCTGATTGTTTCAAAACAGCAACTGAGCATATTACTTTTCCTCATTCATTCACTTTAAGACTGTAAAAACCAGCAGAAACAAAAACTGCAAACACTTACCTAAAAAGTGGGTGCTGAATGATCATACATCAGAAACGTCAAGAGAGAGAACATTTACAAATCGTATGTACAGGTAATATTATATTTCACTCTTAATGGCTTTCTCACCGTTGATTTATTTTAACCTAGGTTTCAGAGACATCATTACAATCTTGTCAAATGGTCACTCTCCTTATCTCAAGAAGCTGATGTAGACTGTTATGGAGGTTTAGTTTTTGTGCCATCAACATCTGTACCACCAGGTGTGAAGTTTCTGTGTCTGCACTTATTTATTTCATTTCCATAGGGACAAGTCTGAAGCCAAACCACCCTTATTGGCAGCTCTCATTGAATTCCTTTCACCCACATGCTGCACAAGGATGTGAACATTGAATGTCTGAGGCTGGAACACGCACAATCCCTTTGCCTTTCCTTACACACTGCATCTGTAATTCAGGAAATCACTTTGAAGTGTGCAAATGTAAGATTATTAGAAAAATAATACACATGTATACACCTATTTTTGAGAGTGTATCGATCTACTGTATATTATGTTAAATTAAAAATTAAAATTTATTTTTTAATAGGGGTAACTGTATAAACCAACTCTCAACCAACAGTTTGATTCATATTTTTTAAATAGTTTTATTTATCAATGAAGATCATAGTTTGTGATTACCCAGAATGCTTTGCGTGTTTTTTTTTCTTTCTGCAATTCTATAAGATCTGACCTCTAGAGGGCGCCTGAGCACATCCAAATCATCATAGGCTTCAGTTGGAGGCCTCTGTGTAGTCTGTAATGGACGATACTCATTTATGGTATGGAAGTCTGCTGAGAGCTGCTGTTGTTGATAATACATCAGTTTATTTCCTTGAAGATGCTTCCCAGTAGAAACTTCCAACATGGTTCATTTCTGGGATTAAAGGAATACTTCGCCAACAGAAGGAATATTTGTCAATTACTCACGGTGTGTTACCTTGAATTCTAGGAGAATTATTTTTTTCCATATGCCTATAGTGAACGAATAATTAAAAAAAGACTTGTCTTGAATGAAAGTATATGGGGCTGAACTTTCACAACAGTAAAACTATATCCAAACATTTTCACTCTCATAATTTTTGTATATGTAATAGAAAGTAGTTAATTTAATGTCTTATTTATCCAGTTGTATTCTCAGTATTTCCCTTACTATTTAAGACAATTCTGCATAGACAGTCTTACGTTTGTGCAGGCATGCCTCTTTTAAATAGAAGATTTAAGCAAAAAATACACATGTTTTGTTAAATGTATTTTGAAGGAACTGTGAATGAAATTGAGACTTGGATTATACTTTACAAGTTGTGTGAGAGTTTGTAGCCTGATGTTTTGATGCAGTTTTGCCGTTGTTAAATGGCCCAAAACTTAAATTCATTACTTGCATGAAAGATAAATGTTTTCTTCAAGAATTCAAGGTTACATGGGTTGAGTAGTTAAGAATCAAATGGACATTTTGTTGGTAAAGAATTCTTTCAAGTTATCAGTGTTTAAACTGACTGTAGTGGTCAAACAAGTCAAACCCTTTGAACTATGATACTGCTGCACTAGATCTCATAATACAAATGTGTGGTAGCATTAGGGCCTAAATATGGAAGATAGGCTGACTCTGTTTCATTTAATAATATAAACTGAAACAAATAAAAACCACGACACCTCAGTTAATACAGAATACATACATGTGAAACAAATGATCTCTATAGAGAGCTCTACTTTATCAGATTGTTTTTGTAACACCAAACTCTTCAACTTGTTTAAGCCGTATGTCAGGCTGTTAGTGACGTGTGTTGAATAACCGCAGGAAAAAGTGCAACATTTCTTCACATTTTATTCACAGAAATATAAAGTAGTATGTCAAGTACATCACTTTGTACAAAATTGCACAGACTCTTCAAAACTCAGTCAGACAACAGAAAATGTAGCTTAAGAAGTGTTAAGAAAATAAAAGGGAGGCATGAGCAATCTGTGATATGTGAGATGGGCTCTTGCAACAGACAGGCTCCACTGAGGATGTTTCATCAAGAAGAATCAATCAATTGTACATAAATAAGACTCGATAGGAAAAATGTAATTTACAACAGCTGAGGAATAAATATGTTTCAAAAATAGGATTCAAATTGGCACATGAACTGCTCCGTTCTCTCCTCGACTGAAATTTAAATGTCACCATTGAAGCTAAATGGCCGTGCTTGAAAAGCCCAATGTTGACTCTTGATATGTTTATTCTTTCCGAACAAAAGTTTGCATATGTGTGAAGTACAGTATCTGAAATCTGGCTGCTCTCTATTCATTTTGTAAGGTGTGCCTTGCCAGTTTAAAAAGAAAAAGGTGTGACATTGTGGGAAGTACATCCCTGGGTTGGATCAGAGCATTGATACCACTCCACTGAACATGAAAGTGGTAACCATTTTCTTATTTAACTCTTGGCAATGCATTTCCAAAATGTCAAACATTTCCTTTAAGAAGGTATTTGGACTGATATTGTGTTATAGTGAATGTCTGTGATGTACATTTTTACAGTAACATGAGTATTTTGTTGTGTTTTTCTTACGAGTTAATAACTCAACAAGCCCATCACTCTGTCAGCATAAAGTAAAGCAACAACATCACATCTTCCCATTCAAACATGGCCATCTACTACCCCTAACTTACTGCCTGTCCACACCAGGCCGCACTAACAGTACCAAATACTGCCGCCTCTCTAAAAAGCGAGTCCCCGGTCCGTCCAATAAATGCTGGATTTGGTATAATAATAATATCTTCAAGGCATTACTTCAAGTGAACTCCTATATTAACAGCATATCTAATCTACAGGTTATTGATATGATAAGCTTGAATACAGAACCAGCACCAGATGGAGGGACCTCGAAAACCATGTTTTAGAAACACTACTGCAGCACAACGATCATTAAAAATATTTGAGCTCTAATACACCATCACACACTCTTATACAAATAACCCGGTATGACGGCAAAATGTAAGCCACCCGGCCGTATTCATACAAACTGAACATGTGTCCATGTACCATTTCAGAGTTTCTAAAGTGATATGTAACACAACATATGACCACCTGTGTGTGTGTATGTGTTGCAGCCATTAATGAAACTGAGAAACAAAGCCAATTCATTATGATGAGATATGCATGATCAGTGTGTTTTTAGCAGAAACTGAAGATATAGTAATTACCTGCGTAACATTTTTGGGTTTTTGAGTTTATGTGAGATGGCAAACGCTATGACCAACAGTCTATTCAAGTCCAAGGTAATTGTCAGGCACTAAGACCCTTTAGGCTGTAGACGTTTTAAGAAAAACATGTCCGAGCTAACGCTAACACGCCCATGATTGCACTAAATTCACACCACCTGTTGTCCTCCTAGATGTTTATTAACCTGCAGCAAAGACCAGAGGAAGTTTCCTGTTCTCATCTATTCAGCCTGTGACTTGATCATTAAGCTATAACGTTAGAATCAGTGAGAACATCGTGCTTTTTTTTTAATGTAAGCATGTTCGTAACTTTTGGTTTTACCAAAATACCTTTTAACTATGTTCTCTATATCTAGCAATTACAAACGACTTCAATTCACAAGACAGGACACAAAACGTTGATCAAAAACTACTAAACTAGAGTTAATTACACCATTACAACAATAAGTTAACTACTCAATAGTTAGCCAATCATCAAGTCAACATCACGTCAGTGCCCTATTAAAACGCTCATAGTGTTATATTATTATACCAAGGGTTCCCTTTAAAGAACCAAACTGCTGCTGTTAGCTTAGCATCTGAAAACTACTATAATCCGTGTTACTGACCAATTCGGGAGGGGCTGTGTGTTCAGGCCGCCGGCAGTTGGAGGTCATGGCTGTCTTTGTGTCTGTGTTTTTATCTAAAGATGAAGAGTTAACTTGTAATATCTGTTCATCAACAAGCTAAGTGTTGTGATAGCGGACGGTCCACACGTGAAGAACAATGACGTCACATTCAAGCGACGTAAAAAGTACTTCTTCGTTAAATTTATTAAAAGCAGCTTAAAATCAGACGCCATCTACTGGTCAAACAGGTAGGTACATTTTGAACAAGTTACATATCTACTGTATATTTTGCCAGTGTATCTAGGGTGACCGGGGCCCTTTCTCATGTCATCAAATGTCCCATCCTCGACTCCTCGGTCCTCCGGTAGTGACCCGGAAATGAATTTTAGCGCGCCATGTTGAAGGACATCTCATTTCTCGAAATGCACATCGAGGACCGAGCATCGAGCGTCGAGGAGGCTCTCTGGAGGAGCTATAACCGAGGATACACTGATGGGTCCTCCACAGTCCTCCACGGCTCCTTCGTGGATGCATTTCCGGCAACAGTGATGTTTCAAAGAGTCGAGACGCACGGCCGGACTTATCTCAGCCAATGACAGCTCTGCATGCATCCCCTGGATATTATTTTATTAACTGCTTTCATCGCGACGCGATGTTTACAGTGAGAACAGCTGTGAGGTCCGTGCAGAAAGCAGAGCAGTGTGTATAATATATATCACTCAGTATAACAGGCCTACTCTCTTTATTTGCTTTAGTTTAGTAGATATCTACAAACAAAGTCGATATTTTTCTAAAACCATTTAGTGCTTCACATAATAAAATACACAACGGCTGTAGCCTGATTATATGCTTTAGGAGCTGTAGGTGCGTGTGTGTAGTGTAGGTGTGTGTGGTACAGTGTGTGCGTAGATGCAGCGGACAGACAGGTCTCAGTTGGTTTGGTGTCCTCTGCTTACTTGTAATACTTGTAAATAAAACTTTTGGCCCGTCATTTATTTCCCTCATTGTAGCGACCAGAGAGGGGAGAGGGGGGGGATATATCCAGTCTCTGATAGTGTTACGTTATTATGAGAGTGCTCTGTTTGATTCTGAAATTGTATATATTTATATAAATATATACATATATGTGTGTGTGTGTGTGTGTGTGTGTGTGTGTGTGTGTGTGTGTGTGTGTGTGTGTGTGTGTGTGTGTGTGTGTGTGTGTGTGTGTGTGTGTGTGTGTGTGTGTGTATGTCCGCATCTGTAGCCTGTTATTGTCTCATTATACCGCACTGTGAATGAATTAAAAGTAAATATATAAGTCGTCATGAACACATCTGTCCATCAGACAGAGGGCTGCTGTGCCTCCTGTCATCATTAATGGACGTCTCTTTAAAATGACCGCTCAGAGGAGAGGAGTTCTCATTTCTCTAACCGCCTGCTGCTTCCCCTCCTCTCTCCTCGGTTCCCCTCCTCGGCTCCTCCGCTCGCATCTCCTGTGGGCGGGACTAAGTCTCGAGGATAGGAGTCGAGGAGGGGAGTCGAGGAGGAACATTTGAAGACATGAGAAAGGGCCCAGGTCCCAACAAACCAAATGTGGGACAAGGAGGATGTTTGTGCGGGACAATGTGGGACACCCTCTCAACACCCCCCCCCCCCCCCCCCCCCCCCTTCGGGATAAATAAAGTCTTACCTATCTATATTCTGACTAGATATTAGACAAATATACTTGGCAAGATTTCGAGTTTTTGTAGTGCATATCTTTTTATTGCATTAATGTGATTCATGCCAAACGTACTGTATAGTCTCTCAGAGTGTCATTATCATCATATATGTACATACAAGAGAATGTGAAATATGTATTGATTTACTGTTTACTTAAGAAAAATATTTTTGCACACCTGCAGAAATGATCCCAAAAACAATAAAGCACTTACAATATATGTCAAGGATGTCTGTTATTTTCTTTATTATTAAGAGTCATGTTAGATGCATCAATATACTTTTTTTTGTCATGGTTCATTCAGAGTTTGTTTATGGGGCCGTTCATTGGTCCAATCTTAGTGCTCTATTAATAGTTGTCGAAGGTACTTGTTTGTTGTAACTTGGTTGCTATATTAAGATTGTTAAACTCTTCCCTGTTGTTTTAGGACAAGTAAAGCACTCTCAGTGATGACGCTAGGTGTTGTTTTTGGATTATCTCATCGTGAAGGACTTCTTGTATTTGCCAAGCAAAGACAACAATAATCTGCTGACAGTCAAATCTGTGTCCAAGTCTTAACATTGAGTGTCAATCATGATGAAGTCCAAGCTATGCATGTCCCCCAAATAACTCATGCAGCAATAATGAAGCAACACCAAAATGTTGAAAATGAACCTCAGCTCCTATAATATTTCTAGAGTAAATACAAATAAAAGAAAACAGACACCTTAATTTTCCCATTGAACCAACACACATACACACAATGATTCAATGTATTATAAAAGCCTAGCAATCTAGGGCCTAGTGACCTATATATAAAAGTGTCTTATGTATCAAATCAAAGCACTTCCATAGTATTTACATCTTTATGCTCTTGCATCGCAGGATTTGAGTTTTGGTAGCCTAAGCTTTGTAGATAATAATTACCTGTGTTACTCAGTGAGGTCAAATGTGAACCAAAACCTAAGTCACTACATTTCTTTTTAACGTTTTTAAATACTTGGATCAGGAGGGAAAGAGAGGGAACTTTTTTTGCTGAAACTTTCTGAGTCTCTTAACACACAAGGGAGACATATATATGTATCAAAGACATTAAAAAGTGCATTTTGCATAATAGGGAACCTTTAAATGATTGTGTTGTTCAATTGAGATCACATCACATGTGGCGTTTCTCGAGTTATTTTACATTATATAATTACAGGTTCATCTTTTAAGCTCAAAGTTTTGTTCAAGAGTCCAAGAATATTTGACCAGCTTGTATGAAATGAACACATTTGATAGAAACAACAATAACAAAAATAATGGGATTGAACGTGTACAGTGAGACAAATATAAAAACACCAAGAACTATAAATACATACATCTTCTATTTCATACCATGGGTTATTTTATTTATGGAATTCAGTGTTGATTAAAACATAAAATGAATAGATACCAGACTTTTAGTAACCAACATGTCATACAGTAATGAATATATACTGTATATGTTTACACAGTGATACACACGTAATAATTAACATTTTTATTTTTAAATCAAGTCTTTTTAAATCCTAATTGTAATCCTACTTGTATTATGAAAATGAGTTGCAGGCGAACTTGAGCTCCAGGAGAAAACCCTAAATATGAATGTTCATGACCTCAGTTTTCTTCATATTTACTGCCAGTACTTTTGTACTATGTGCAGCTGTTGTTGTATTTTTTCAGTCTGAGACAGTAGAGAGCACCATCATCAGCATAAAGCAGAAACTTCACCTCATTATAGAGAGACCAGCAGCAGCACATTGCTCCAACCCAACAAGATTTAATTCATATATACATTAAATAACGTTTACATTTAAACCCTGAGCTTTGAATACTTTAACAGCTCTTATGAAATCATCACATTTTTTGAAAAACAACAAAAACAAAACAATGTAATTGAACCCAAAAGTAGAAACACCAAGAACAATCTGTACAAAAATATTCTATTGTTGTTGTATTTATTAAATTCAAAGTTGTTTAAATCACAAATAGAACAGATACCGGTACTTTAGTAACCAAAATGTCATAAAGTAATGAATATAAACTGTATACGTTTACACAGTGAGGCATACACATAATACATTTAATTAACATTTTATTTTAAAATCAATTCTAAACACAACTAAAAAACACTAAATATGAAAATGGGAAGGAAGGGGGGGGGGGGGGGGGGGGGGGAGTGATGTAGGAAGAAAGAGGTGAGGGAAATGGAGGAGAGAGTTTGGGGTGAAGTGAGGGGAGAGTATGGAGGAAGTAAGTAAATAAAGGATGGAGTAAGGTGAGAGAGGGTGAGGTAGCAGGAAGTAGGTACAGTTAATGGGGGAGGGACTTAATAGTGAGTTTTTTTACATCTATTATAGAGATTGTGGGAAAACCTGAGCTCCAGGAGAAAACCCTGAGTATGAAAAGGGGAAGGCAGTAGGGGGTGAGGTAGGAGGAAGGAGGTGAGGGGAAATGGAGGAGAGAAAGAAGAGAGGAAAAGGCAGCTACTGATGTCCAGCCATCTCCTTCTCTTGCATCTTGCGTAGCATTTTCTGCAAAATGACGTCCCTTTCCTCAGTCATCCTCCTGCGAGCGAATAATCCTCTGCTCTTATTCTTCATGTGAAGACAGAGGTCCTCCAGAAGTGTCTTTTCGTCCTCCATCTTCTTCTCTTTGGCCTCCCAGCTCAGTCGCGTCTGAGCGAGGTCGTCCTTCTCGTCCTTCACCTGTTTCAGTTGAGTCTCCATCAGATGAACCTTGGTCTCCCAGCTCTGGAGTTTCTGGGTCAGTTGTTCTGAGAACTCTTGCATCTGGTCTTTAAGCGGCTTGACATCCGTCTCCCAGCTTCTTTTTATCTTGGCCAAATGATTCTTTTGCTTCTCCACCTGTTTTAGCTGAGTCTCCCAGCTCTGGTGTTTTTTGGCCAAATCTTCAGAGAACTTGTTCTCCTGCTTATCCAGGTTATTCAGCAGCTGCTGGACTCTCATGTCCATCTGTTCGTCATTGCTCTGGTTTTTCTTGACCAGGTTCCTCATGGTTTCGTTGGCCTGTTCTAATTTTGCCTGAACCACTTTCAATTCATTCTTCCCGATCAGGTGTTTGTGAACCAGGTTGTAATTCTTCTTCTCTTCCTCTTGAAATTTGGTCTCCATCCAATGAACCTTGGTTTCCCAGCTCTGGTCTTCAAGCTGCTTGACATCCGTCTCCCAGCTTTTTTTGATCTTGGCCAAATGATTCTTTTGCTTCTCCACCTGTTTTAGCTGAGTCTCCCAGCTCTGGTGTTTTTCGGCCAAATCTTCAGAGAACTTTTTCTCTTGCTCATCCAAGTCGTTCTCCAGCTGCTTGACTTTCATGTCCTTCTGTTTGAAATCGAACTCCCAGCTCTTGTTTTCCTTGATCAGGATATTTATGAATTCCTTGACCTTTTCAAATTTTGGCTGAACCACTGTCTCCCCGATCAGCTTTTTCAGAACCAGGTTGTCCTTCTTCTCTTCCTCTTGAAATTTGGTCTCCTTCTCTCTCATCTGGTCTTCAAGCTGCTTGACATCCGTCTCCCAGCTTCTTTTTATCTTGCCCAAATGATTCTTTTGCTTCTCCACCTGTTTCAATTTGGCCTCCACCTGTTTAAACTCAGTCTCGAGGGTCAGGTTCTTCTTGGCCAGGTCGTCCTTTTCCTGAGACACCTTTTTTAGTTTGGTCTCCATCGGTTGTTGGTGTTCAGGGATCTTTTCTCCCTGCTTTTCCAACTGGAGCACCAGCTTTTGGACTTCCTTCTCCATTGCTTTGATTTTACAGGTCTGGTAAGTGTTGTTTCTCATCATCTGTTTAAATTTCAACTCCATCTTTTGTTTTTCCGTCTCCAAGGTGTGGTTTCTAGCGGCCTGGTAGTTTTTCTCGTCCACTACATACTGCATGTCTTGTTTTCCATTCTCCCATCTCTGTTGTATCTCGGCCAGGTCCTTGGTGGACTTGTCCGGGCTCTGAAGGAGTTCTTCCTCTCTTCTTTTCAGCAGGTTTATGGTCACCAGGTTCTCCTCCAGCTGCTGCTTGTGTTGAGCCTCTTTAGTTTCCATCTCCTCCTCCAGAGCGCTGTATCTTTCCTCCCAGACTGTCACACACTTAAGGAGTTCATCTCCTCTCATCACCAGCAGTTTTACGGACTCTGCGTCAAACTGCAGGAGACTCTCATCGTTCTGGATGTCGGATGTCTCCATGTTGCTCTGGTCTGACATTGTTCCCTCCATGGCACTGTCTGTGGACTTGTGTTGTGTGTAGGGATAAAAATCTATGTGTCTACGTGATACGTGTTTTGTCTAAAAAACTGTAAAGTTTGTTTGCTCTGACTGAATATGTGTACCACTCACCGCTCTGAACTGAACAACTGAATGAGATGACTGGAACCCAGAGCTCTTGCTATGCCAAGATCTAAGCCACCTGTGATGTCATGTGATGATGTCACAGATTCTACTCTCAACTGTGATGTCATTCCGTTAGGGTCACATGTGATTCCGTTAGGGTCACATGTGATTCCGTTAAGGTCACATGTGATTCCGTTAAGGTCACATGTGATTCCGTTAAGTTCACATGTGATTCCGTTAAGTTCACATGTGATTTCGTAGTAAATGCAATTAATTTGTCCCACTTTATGACTTTATAAGCAGAATAAATGTTGTGCTTTAAGGTCTTTACAGTTACACAATGCAAATATTTAATTTTATTAATTTTATTTATGTTGTTTTGAGTTAAAGGTCAAGGCCTCTTTGTAAGCACACATGTTTTTTCTGTTTTTATTCATACAAAAATATAATTATGTATTATAAGTGCATTATTTGTGTGTTTGTTTCTACTTAGACACACTTAAAAAATACTAATATTATATACAGATTACTAGATTTAAAAAATAATAATCTTAATTTAAAAAATAACAACAAAAAAAAATGTGTGATGCTTTTGGGCAAAACCTAATAACTGAATGCCTCCTTTATTGCTGACAGGATTTCATGATTTCATGACTTTATAAGCCCTATAAATGTTTGTGTTTCGAATACTTTACAGTTACACAATGCAAATATTTAACTTTCATACATTTTCTCTATATTTTTTTTAACTCAATGGTAACAAACCTCTTTGATAGCACAAGTGTCTTTTCTGTTAGTCTTTCATTTTTGTAATTATTTCAAGGATAAGAACTTTGGGTTCTAGCATTCCCAGACCATTTACATGCACAAAAACCTATAACACACTACAGGAAAGGGAAAACCCCCCAAATCAGAATAAGGCCTCATATATAGACATTACAATTATAACTTAACGATAGTTTATATATACAGTCTATGATTGCGACACATGCCTGTATAAAACAAGTGAGAGATGGCTCTTCTGTGATTTCAGTGCTACACATATGATTTCACCATGATGGATCTGGTAACGTTTGAGAAGGAGAACTGTGAGCGTATCCAAGCCGTTGAGACTTCATTCGGCCCGGCAGGGAGGCCTCTATCCCAGCCAGGGAGAGTTCTGGTGGGTCAGGGTTGTCTCACAAAGCAAGGGCGTAGGAAGCCAGAGCCTAAAGTTTTCTTTCTGTTCAACGACATGCTGGTGTACGGCAGCATCATCCTGAACGGCCGCTGGCACAAAAAACAGAAAGTCATCCCTCTAGGTAAGCAGAACCCTAGATCTAGTCCGACAGATTCAAAAGATTTGATTAAAAGGTTTTATTGTCATATGAACAAAGCTACAGTGGAGAAATGGCAATGAAATTCTTCTGAGCTGAGCTCCTCCAACAATGCAACATGTATAATAAAATACAAAAATACAAAATAAAAAGTAGTGCATTTAGTCTATATCTAGATAACGATGATATGATGGTATGTATACCTCCGTAGAAGCTTTAGTGATGAAGTATTCTTTTATTTTTTTGCCTTGTTGTAACTTTATATTCACGTGCAATATATATCTGCAACAGCAAAACAATGGAGGTGCATGGAATTTGCGAAAAGTATGATGCACAAAACAATGACAACTTATCCACATGCTACCTCAAGAGCAAATTGCAGTTCGCCAATTCTGGAAATACCGATTACATTTGAGCTTGGTCAATGTTGTTCTACAGTTCTACATTGTAGAAATGTTTTCCAGAAAAAGACAGCAATACAACCCTTTTATGGAGGAAATAAAAAAAAGCATATCTTCATTTACTATTAGTGTAAATAAGTGTGGATAAAAGAACAGTTTCTTTTAAAACACAGGGGGATGATGGAAATACCAATTACATTTGAGTTTGGTCAATGTACTTTTTTAATGTTTGAAACACTTTCTGTTTAACTGTGTTGTATTGATGCACCTGAAGAAGTTTCAAAAGTTGTTATCCCAAAGCCTTTAAAATTATATTATCAGTATAGCTGAATACCACATGGATAAAGTCAGAAAATATATTTATTTAACAGCAATCAACTCAACTAAAATGACAAATATCCGCCTCAAGTCTTTCTGGACAAGCGTGTTGACCACGCCATAGTATCCATGTGTTTTTTGGACTGTTAACAATATCTTCCCTGTCATTCCAGAGGACATCATGCTAGAGGACCTGGAAGACAAGGAGGGATTGAGTAACAAATGGCTGGTCCGTATACCATGCAAGTCGTTTTTTGTGTCCGCAGATTCGCTCGAAGACAAGCAGGCCTGGATGGAGCTCATTGGAAACTGCCCGTTAAATCTTCTGCAGCGGCGTGGCAGCCAACACGGATCCACTTTTGAGCCGCCTATAAATGTATGCGCTGCTTCAACAACTTCACTCACATCAAACGCCGACACCACTGCCGGAAATTTGGCTTTTTGGTCTGCAATGCATGCTCCAAGCAGCGAGCAGTGATAGACCACATTCACATGCTACAGTGTAGTTATGGCAATGGAAATCTTAGGTCACAGGCTCCTAGCAGGAAATAAAGCTTGTTCAAGGTTTGTGTGAATACCTTTGTCAGTTAGTGACGGATGCATCTACACAAAGAAAATATCACATTTCACACTCTCTACAGGGCAAACAATTGGGGGAGGGGTAGACACATAGACACACACACACACACACACACACACACACACACACACACACACACACACACACACACACACACACACTCACACACACTCACTCACACACACACACACACACACACACACACACACACACACACACACACTCACACACACTCACTCACACACACACACACACACACACACACACACACACACACACACACACAGGGCACACAAATACACAAATGTAGATATGTTAAAATCACAGAGGTGTGTGTGTGTGTATAGACTTAAAACACTTGTACATGCTGGTAATATTAAGATGCATACTGCACACACACACTAACACACACACACACACACACACACACACACACACACACACACACACACACACACACACACACACACACACACACACACACACACATACACACACACACACACACACTAACCTAAAACTTCTCCTTGTTCTTTGATTGCAAAGCCAGACAAATTATACTTTGTCCGTCAACCGATCACATTTCCCTTATGCCAGTTAGCCAATAAAGCTTTGTCGCAAAGTTTAAATGTGTTTGGACAGAAACAACTGTGGGATACAAAGACCCACACACACCCACATACACTCACACACACACACACACACACACACACGCACACACACGCACACACACACGCACACGCACACGCACACACACACACACACACACACACACACACACACACACACACACACACACACACACACACACACACACACACACACACACACACACACACACACACTTTGGGGAAACATCAGTGAGGACATACTGGAACTAGAAGAAACCACTTCTCAGATGTAGATCTCAAAGTTGCACCAAAGCACAGATAGGCCCACAGGAAGCAGCTGGTAAACGATAAGATGCTGAGCAGAGACCTTTTCACTGACTAACAGTAAACATAGCGAGAATACGTTAACATAGCAACAATAACCACCAACTCTGACGATAAAAATAGCTACAGTAGAATGACCATATTTCTGAAAAATAATAAAAAAGGTACTTAACTTCAGCGGTGCATACAGTATGTGCTGAAGTTTATATTGCACTTACTAAAAAGGTCACACACACACACACACACACACACCTGTTGTATGAGCCCCTAGGCCTAGAGAGAGAAAGAGAGGGGTTAAACAGGTGGAGATATATTTCACATGGCGACAATGTAAAGATTTTGTAGAATTGTTTTAAGCATAATTGCCAGGCAGCTAGATTGGCCATCCAGAACATTAAAGTATTAGACTCTAAAAATCTTTGCGTCCGAATAAATGGGAATTAAAGCAGCTTCATAAATGTGTGGCAGCGACTAATATATGAATTACGCTAAGATAAAGGTGAAAATAGTGGGAGTAGAACATTGGACTGGGATGCTCCATAAGACCTTCTCTACAAGTCACTCAATGAATGATTTTCATGTAAACTGAAGTGCTTCATGTTTGCATGACATATAAATCAAACAACAGCACCACCTAGCGGACACAGTCAGTCCTCTTGAGCTTTACACCATAGATTCCAGCGTAATTATCTTAAACTCTTGGCGTCACTTTGCTAGAAAAAGTGGTGGGGACCATTTTTGGTTTACATTACTTTTTTTAAAGTGCAGTGCTGCTGCACATTTGACATGTTCTATTAAAGGTTTAATAACATGTCCAAATGGCACATCTTGACACTAAACCAGTGTTCTTGTTTATTACATTTCTTTCTGCACGCTATTTTTCTAAAACATTTCTAAGTTATACTTTTAAAAACTGATTGTTTGTTTGTAGCCTTTATTTAACCAGGTTAAAAAATCCCATTGAGATCAACGATCTCTTTTTCAAGGGAGACCTGCGGTACATTGGTTACACATAAAAACAACAGAAAACAAAAAGGACATCACAACATAATTGATGGGGACAAAATTGGCCATTTCAAAAAGTTGGGGGCACATGTCCCCAGCGTCCCCAGAGCAAACGACGCCTATGTGGCCCAATATAACTCGGTTTGTAATGATTGTGTATGGTACACCACTGTGGCATTGTTTGGCTCTGTTGTTTTCTTTGCACAAAAATCCTTAATAAATTATGTTTGTTTTAACTGAATTCTGTAGAGGAATCTTCAGAATCGGAATTATTTACTATTGAACTTGGTTTATTGACAAGAAGAGTTCCATTTACAAGGAGGTTGCTTTTGTGTATGCTACTGATGCAGAGACAAAAACATCAGATTATCACATATCAATCAACAGTAACCAGTTTTAATAATATTGGCCCAGCTGGAATACATAGGAACAATAATAACTCAATAAATACATTTATTATGATTGTATTATTAAAAAGGCAGGTACATACTGCACAGGGTGACCAGGTCCCAACAAACCAAATGTGGGACAAGGAGGATGTTTGTGTGGGACAATGTGGGACACCCTCTCAACACCCCCCCCCCCCCCCGTTGAAAATGTACGAGCGGTGATTATTTGCGGTACCGAGGTGGGCCGGTCGAGAGTCCCGGGCTGATTTGTAGTCCCAGTCCGCCGCTGCCCACGGGTAAATGTCTTCCCAGTCTTTGTTGTATGTGCATCTTCTTCTTTTCTTAGCTGTAGTTTCAGTTTCCTCCATTTTCCATAACCTGCTGCGTCGCCTGCGTTATTGACTTTCATTGTTGTTGTTTGGCGGGGCCGCGGCGGTGTGTGTGTGAGTGAGTTACTCTCATTGGTTAACACTTGACCAGCACCCGCCGTGTCTTACAGTTTGATTGACAGCAAACACAGCTCCGTGATGATAGCCTTACCTGCTTTCTCAACAGCCATTGGATAAATCTGATTTTAGAAAAGCGTTTTAGCCAATCAAAATGAAATATGCGGGACATTGTCTCAATTTGCGGGACGCACCAAAAGTCGTGAAAATGCTGTGCAGTCCCGCGCAAAGCGGGACATCTGGTCACACTAATTACACATGTATTTTCTCCTTGTAGACTTACAGACACTCACACCGACGCACAAGACCACTCGTTTTACTCCAACACAGATCAGAGCATGACATTAGGTATTTTCAACAATGCAGACATTTTTTGGGTAACACTTTACAATAAGGTACACAAAATGTGCTTAGTTACTGCTTAGTTACTGAGGAACTACTAGGTAGTTAATGGTTAGTTAATGAGTAGTTCCTCAGGGACTGCGATTGAGGAACTGATGGTTAGTTACTGGTAAACAGACTGGGGGTACTGCATTAACGAATCATTCGTTAATGGTTAGTTAATGAGTAGTTCCTCAGTGAACTGATGGTTAGTTACTGGTAAACAGACTGGGGGGGTACTGTATTAACGAATCATTCGTTAATGGTTACTTAATGAGTAGTTCCTCAGTGACTTCGATGGATGGTTAGTTAGTTACTGGTAAACAGACTGGGGGTACTGTATTAATGAATCATTCGTTAATGGTTACTTAATGAGGAGTTCCTGGGAGACTTTCATTGAAGCAATGGTCCGCTGCAGCAGGGCACTTTTAAACCATCTTCGGCTGGCTTGGGTCCCACACTGGATCAACTGGTGGAGGTGGATCCGACTCACGTTTTACTGCTTAAGTCATCATTATTTACCTTACCATTACTTAGGCCGTTTGGGTACGGTAAACTCAAGGAACTCAAACAAAAACAGTAGTTACCCATTACCTAATGCTTACTTGACCATTACAAAAACAGTAGTTACCCATTACCTAATGCTTACTTTACCATTACAAAAACAGTAGTTACCCATTACCTAATGCTTACTTGACCATTACAAAAACAGTAGTTACCCATTACCTAATGCTTACTTTACCGTTACAAAAACAGTAGTTACCCATTACCTAATGCTTACTTTACCATTACAAAAACAGTAGTTACCCATTACCTAATGCTTACTTTACCGTTACAAAAACAGTAGTTACCCATTACCTAATGCTTACTTTACCATTACAAAAACAGTAGTTACCCATTACCTAATGCTTACTTGACCATTACAAAACAGTAGTTACCCATTACCTAATGCTTACTTGACCATTCATTAAGCAGTATGTGTCCCCTCAAGTAAAGTAATGCTCTTCAGAGTCTTCTCTGTGCGGTTTCCTCGCAGTCTCCAGACCTGTGACTTGTATGTTGACCAAGCCCGCTCAATGTTTTGGGTGTGGGCTCCTGTGACTGGGTTCACAAATGAACGGCTGTGGTTCACAGAGAAATGGACAAAGCCACTTTCTGTGATTGCAGTGATGTATGCCCTCCACATGTCCGTTATCACCGTGGTCCCTTGGCGAACGTATTTTGTGACCAGAGGAATTAAGTGGCGCCTCGATCTCTGTTTCACCAGCCTCAGGATAGGTCTTCTCCTTGTTCCTCTGATGCCCAGCATACCAAAGACCCATTTTCTCCTCCTCCACGTAGGACCGAATCTTCCCCTACCATACTGTAATAAAGCAGTGAAAAAGGACAACAAAATTATATAAAAATAAACATCAGTAATTTCAATTGATAAACAAAGTGAAATGTGTTTGTTATTTGCGTTCTTTTACAATTTAAAAATATTCACTTCCTTTCTCAAAAAAGAAGAGAAAAATATTAAAATGTAGTGGTACAAACAGAAAAGGCTGTTTAATTTTATTAAGTTAAAGTTTGCTTATTTTGCTGCAAGAAACATGAAACGGTAAGATAGATATTGGAATTAGATGATATATAAATAGATTATGCCCTTTTAAAATGTTAGTAATAAAATGTAAGAATATAGATTTATTTCCTTATTGATTAATGATCTGATTGGATGAGATACTTCTTAGCTTCTAAATTCTTTTTTCTGTTATTTGACTGTGTATACAATGTGAAGCTGGCTCTCTCTAATGTATACTCTGTCTTGGAAGCCTAAGCACACCAGTCATAAGGGTGTGAATGACACAATTATAAAATTACATTACTTTGCTCAGTCATTTGTTAATCTCTGACCTTAAAAGATATGTTATTATTTCACCTTGAAAAACAAAGTTTTTAGTTTTAGTGAGGCCAAAGGCTAAGGCTCTGTAGTTTATACACACCTTCCTTTTGTGGTAGAAGTTGCTTTCGTCCAGCATGACAAATTCATTTGGTCCTCCAAGTCTTTGCTTTCCCCTCCTTTCTCTCCTCTTGATTGCACGCTTGCAGACCTTCCTCAACTTCTGGCTCATTTTTGACAGCGTGCGACTGCTTCCTGCCACGCCATCCTGCAGCATGTCCATTTGCCTTAGCTGCAGTCCCTGGGAAAATCTGTTAAAGATCAATATACAATTACTAAATATGAACAAAAACATATGAAGACGAACGCATTCAGCACCAGTGGCTAATGTATTAATTATATAATTCACATTAGACATTTGTTATTACTCAAAATGAAACAGAATATTTTAATGTTGCTAATTAATTGTATCTATCAAGTTTTCCTATATCATAGCATCTACGCATGTATTTTTAAACTATTAGAATAATCACACATTTAAACATTCTGAACCCATTTTTTTGTTGAGGAACATTTTTGAATGCAGGAATTTTACTGTAACAGAGTATTCGTACACTCTGGTACTTCTACTTTTACTCTAGTACAAGATCTGAGTACTTCTACTCAAGTGCAATATCTGAGTACTTGTGTTTTACTCAAGTACAATATCTGAGTACTTCTACTTTTACTCAAGTACAATATCTGAGTACTTCTACTTTTACTAAAGTACCCGATCTGAGTACTTCTACTTTTAATCAAGTACAATATCTATACTTATACCACCTCTGTTTATAGCCTATGAAAAAATTAGAAAACGAAGGCTAAAGCTAATGTTAGCAGATAGTGACAATGTATCCTAGTTAGCTAGCTCAACGATTCCTTAAATAATATTGCGACAGAAACATTTTTTTGTTCACATCACGCTCTGCTGCTCCAACAGGGAGCTCTACTCTGAACACCCGAACGGTAAGGCGATATGGGTCCGTTCTTATTGTGCATCCATGGGTAAAGGTAAAATCTTTATAGTCTATGGGTAAAACGCATGTAGTACTGAACACGTAACATGAACGTGCCGGGCGGCGCGGTCCCGTGGGTTAGATGCGCGTTCATAATGCCGAGGGAAATAACTCTCGAATATTGTCATCAGAGTCCGGCGCAGTTTGTTTGTAGCCTTTATTTAACCAGGTAAAAAATCCCATTGAGATCAACTATCTCTTTTTCAAGGGATACCTGCAGTTCCTGGGGCTTGGTGTGAAAGCGACGCCAATGTGCCCCGCCACACCTCCAAGCCGCCTGCGTTGTGAATTGCCAAATAACTAGCATTTAGTCCGCTAGCTCAATGCTAACATATAATGGATAACGGAATTGACGCGCTAACTGAAATTAGCATTTAGATATCGGCAATGTTAAACAACAGTCAACATGCTTAAAATAAACGTAATACTTACAGGCATTCATTTGCTGTGCTCTGAGGAAATGACTGATATTATTGATGAATTAATATTACCTGTAAATGTATTTCATCCAGCTGAACAAGGATAATTTGCTCCTCTCAAACAGGGACACACACCTCACTGACTTCTTCGTCGTTTTCCCTCTGTGTTTTTTACGTCGGCACTTCCTACAAAAGACCAATCGTAAATTCCTAGTCCTTTTTTCCTGATAAAGAACTTATCTTTGTAACATGACATATCAGTAAACAGAGGAAGTCATCGTTAAAACCCGTGCTAAAAATGTAAGACTTACCACTGCAGTCCGTCGACGTTTGAGTGTTTCTCCAGTTTCCTCCTCTTTTTGCAGAGTTTGCATTTCATTTTTCCTTGAAGCAATTCCATTTTCATTAAAAGTCTGTTTGGTGTGCAGTGTCATGATAACCTAAAACCATAGACTACTGCGGCGTTACTACGCGTTACTGCGGCCTGTCCACAAACCCTAACACCCAGCGTAGTTCAAGATGTACTGCCGCTGCCGGGCCAGACCGGAAGTTGAAGCACAGCGAACTCCGCCGCGGAGCGCACTAGTGCCCTAGCACCCTGATCCTCATTTCTTGTTCACACGATTCAAACCAATAGTTTTGATGTTTTTAATCAGGTATTTCATCTTCCTTGTTAAATTGACAAAGCACAGCTTCTGTATCTTCACTAATATACAATTAAAATATTAAAACCGTAATAAAGTGTTAATGCGCTGCAAATCGGGATCCGGCTGGAGCACTACGCAAGACACGCCCCTTCATAGCATTCACGTGCTACGATTGGCCATGAGCCTGTCACGTGCATCTCGGCTGAAAATGGACATGAGGAGAAGCAAACGAAAGAAGATGGGGTCCCGCAAGCGTTTGTTGTCAGAATGTAAGTATGAATTGAAATTTCTTTTTTATTTGAAAAATTAGTAACACTGCTTCGCGAAATCATCTCAATTGACACATGTATTACACTTTTTGTTCTGTGCTATCTGATTTGAGGTTGCTAGCTAAACCACGAGGACCCACCGTGACACAGTTGTTACATAATAATAATAATAATAATAATACATTACATTTATAAAGCCCCTTCCTGGAGCTCAAAGCGCTTACATGACATTTAAATGTTCTGTAAAGTTCCTTATACAGCTTTAGACTTGTTTTTATCTCATAAAGTCCTTAAGTGACACACCCTGAACAGTCTGGTGGGTCATGTGCTGGGCTAACACATGTGACAGAACTAGCTACATTTCAGAGGCTTGTTTTTGGTTGCTAAAGGTACAAATCAAGCCATTTAAGAATTAAAATGCTTACATAACATGTCCTTTGTTACATTTAACCTGTTAACATTTCTTGATCAAATTGATATGAAACAAATTAGATAAAAATCGCTGTGACACTGATGTCACATCGGGACATTAACCTTAAACTTTCACAGTAAATCTGGAGTAACACATATGTCACAATTAGAAATATGATTATGATCTGCTCAGTTAATTTAGCTGATCCAATTATATTTAGTTAATATATTCTTTATTCTTCAATTCAAAGAATGTTCAAACAAATTTAAATCAAAAAATCCTCCTCATTCATTAAGTTATAAATAAGAGTTACTTTAGCATTAAATGAACTTTAATGTGACATTGTCAGAAATGTGGTCTATTTAGTCTAAATTATGTTCCCCTTAATTTCCCCAAAAGTAGAAATGGGTCTGGGTTCTTATGGGTTAAATTAGTTAAATTGTTAAATAAGTAAATGACATTAGGGCGCTAGAAACGAGAGTATTTTATTTTAACACAGCATTGTTTTTTGCGTTCAAAATTAAAACAGGCTAACCTTTTAACGCTGATTTGGGTGACTTGTGTAATTCGTGGAGAACCGAAGAGTTTTCGTTTTGGGGGTGTGGGGGGTCCGACTCACAGACTGACGGACAACGGAACGCCGCTCCAGCACTTCAAATATTGCAGTACCCATAAGGATGCCTTATACATGCCGCAGTTTTTGCGTGGCTGTGTCTTTAGTTGTAAGCCCATTGGCGATCTGTTGTTATTAGCATCTGGTTAGCTAGCTAGCTATAAAGACATTTTTCTACAACCAGGTGGAAGAGAGCTCTCTCCTGACAGACTGAGAGGCTCAAATAACCTCAGCTCAGTGAGGTTAAGGCACACCTTGATATGATCATTATAGTCAGGGGTGCACACAACTTTCTCAGTGAGGTACTCAGATGAGTACCTGGAGTCAGTGTTTGGTACTCCAACTTCTGGCGATTGTCAACGGGGGGGGGTGGACTACAGCACTTCGCGATTGGGGGGGGGGGGGGGGGGGTGGTGGTAGTGGGGTACAGAGCTTCGTGACCCGCGGAGCGTGGGAACGTTGTGATCAGCTGTTTTAGCGCAGGGCTGCTGTACAGACCGACGTTAACAGCAGCCCTGTCTGTGCACACGGAGACCGACTCTGTCGTCCGGTGATCTCACCGCCTTCTGGAAAAGCTTCACAAGTACGTCGGTACTCAAATGCGCTTTGTGACACAAGTGACGGTATGCATTTCAGATTGTTGCCGCGCATGTACCTGCGTACCAGTTATGTGCACCCCTGATTATAGTTATATAAAAAAAGAGACTAAATGAAAAACAGGTATAAAATACTTTGACAGTAACAAAAACGTTTTTTTAAATAACAAGAATACAGTTTAAAAAGGGAGTGATTTGTAAAATATCCATAAAGAAAAAGAGAAATCTGCTTACAGGTCTGTTTCATATGGGTGTGCACCAGATTGATGCATTTAACTTCAACATTTAAAAACAAATTTGCACACATCTTGTGTCCATATCTTTCTGTTTTGGTGGTCATGCCACAACCGTGTATGCATGCATGCGCGAGTCATGGTAAAATATCTGGATTAAGAGGTTGCTTTTTCTTTGCACAGCATGAAAGAAAGGCGAAATGAATGGGCTGTGATTTTAGTATTTTTAAGCAGAAATTGAGTTCAATCATTTGTACAGCCCTTGGAGAAAGTTGTAAAAATTGAAATGGCCCTTGAGAGAAAAAAGTTCCCCACCCCTGATCTAAATAATAATAAAAACCCTTGATTTGTAACTTAACATCTCTGTCTCCTATTGATCAGAGTATATTATAAAGAATAGCCAGTTAATTGAAGCATTATAGCTCAGGCCTTTGTCAGATGGTATATTACGCTGTTTTTTCTGTTTCGAATAGTTCTCTCTTTTTTCACCATACGTGTGTTTGCATCCCTGAATATAAGTAGGCCTATAATGTTAAACAGAACATGCTGTGATGTCGCTCTGTTCAGAGTGACACCAGTGTTTCCAAACAACTCCATCTCTGTTGGTCTCTGCACGCTTACATTAACCTGCAGTGTCAGATTTTTCAAAAAAAACAGGGAGAGCAGCTTCTCCAAACTGTTCCATTTAAAGGCTGCTGAGACATGAGGATGCCAGGCTAAAACTTATTGATGCGTTATAAATTAGAAACGGAGCAATCTCGATATAGCGTTAAATCCACATTGTGGATCGTCTTATCAGTTATCTCTATTAAACATGATTGGATAAAAGTAGAGCTGATTGCCCAAACCTAACTTCTGTATATAAAGGTACACACCCCAAACACAATAACTAACATTTAAACATTACTTTGAGCAAAGCTACACGACTAGTAATACCTTTACACTACACCAATTCATTACACAATTTTGTATGTAAGGATTACACTACCACTATATAACACTAGTACAAGAATATTATCAATACTAATAAACCCATATCCAAACTGATTTCTGCACTACAGACATCATTAGGATAGGCAACAACAAAGTACTGTTGTTAAATAGTTAAATATTTGTCTTTTTTTCTGTTTCAGTCCTGACCCCAGAAGACGCCATAACCCGCTACAAGCGTGTTCTTGAGGCGGTGAACAAGGGCAACAATAAAACGGCGGCTTACAGAGCGGTAGGAGTGGACCGCAAAACCATTGCCGACACTGCAGGAATTGCAGAACTGCATGCCGTGAACCCGGGCATCTTCCAAGATATCCGGGGAACACTGAAGAAGGGGGAAACCCTTCTCCGTTTCTCTGAGATGTGTAAGTCTGCCATAAAGGACCAACATTTAGAGGGGAAGGTCCAGGACTTAAAGACGAATGGAGGACTATTATCCATTAATCCAAAGGGGAAGTGAGGAAGGAATGGATGTTTTTTTGCTTTGCACTTGTTTTTAGTTTTTTTTTATAAAAAGTCGTTTTTATTTACATTTTTCTTTTTTTTTATGTTCATCCTTGTTTCAATAAAAATGTAAAACTTCAGTGGCTGTAGATCCGTCATTGTCATCAACAGTGTTTGTTTGTTTGTTTGTTAGTTAAACTGCTTAACTAATGGTAAGATAATGGTGAGGTAATCATTAGTTAATGGGTAACTACTGCTTAATGAATGGTCAAGTAAGCATTAGGTAATGGGTAACTACTGTTTTTGATGCCTTACTTTACTTGAGGGGACACATACTGCTTAATGAATGGTCAAGTAAGCATTAGGTAATAGGTAACTACTGTTTTTGATGCATTACTTTACTTGAGGGGACACATACTGCTTAATGAATGGTCAAGTAAGCATTAGGTAATGGGTAACTACTGTTTTTGTAACGGTAAAGTAAGCATTAGGTAATGGGTAACTACTGTTTTTGTAACGGTAAAGTAAGCATTAGGTAATGGGTAACTACTGTTTTTGTAATGGTAAAGTAAGCATTAGGTAATGGGTAACTACTGTTTTTGTAACGGTAAAGTAAGCATTAGGTAATGGGTAACTACTGTTTTTGTAATGGTCAAGTAAGCATTAGGTAATGGGTAACTACTGTTTTTGTAATGGTAAAGTAAGCATTAGGTAATGGGTAACTACTGTTTTTGTAATGGTCAAGTAAGCATTAGGTAATAGGTAACTACTGTTTTTGATGCCTTACTTTACTTGAGGGGACACATACTGCTTAATGAATGGTCAAGTAAGCATTAGGTAATGGGTAACTACTGTTTTTGTAATGGTCAAGTAAGCATTAGGTAATGGGTAACTACTGTTTTTGTTTGAGTTCCTTGAGTTTACCGTACCCAAACGGCCTAAGTAATGGTAAGGTAAATAATGATGACTTAAGCAGTAAAACGTGAGTCGGATCCACCTCCACCAGTTGATCCAGTGTGGGACCCAAGCCAGCCGAAGATGGTTTAAAAGTGCCCTGCTGCAGCGGACCATTGCTTCAATGAAAGTCTCCCAGGAACTCCTCATTAAGTAACCATTAACGAATGATTCATTAATACAGTACCCCCCAGTCTGTTTACCAGTAACTAACCAACCATCCATCGAAGTCACTGAGGAACTACTCATTAAGTAACCATTAACGAATGATTCATTAATACAGTACCCCCCAGTCTGTTTACCAGTAACTAACCATCAGTTCACTGAGGAACTACTCATTAACTAACCATTAACGAATGATTCGTTAATGCAGTACCCCCCAGTCTGTTTACCAGTAACTAACCATCAGTTCCTCAATCGCAGTCCCTGAGGAACTACTCATTAACTAACCATTAACTACCTAGTAGTTCCTCAGTAACTAAGCAGTAACTAAGCACATTTTGTGTACCTTATTGTAAAGTGTTACCATTTTTTGTAATACAAACACTTGCATGACTGATGACACGAGGGACTTGCATTGGAATAAAGAGGATGAGGAGGGGGTGGATTCACACTGTGGTAAGTTGGTACTCAATCATATTATTGTGTCCCATCTTAATGTTGCTGTTTTCTGATCTTGTTTTGTGTTTTAAGCTCTGTCTGATTTCCAGGTGCGTTCCATTTTCAGTTGGCAGACAGTATTGTCTAAAGCTGTTTTAGGCAAGTCTATGAAAATGAGTCAGTGTTTAGGGTGTGGAAAACTTTCAGTTTCATTTTTGATTTGGTCCCAGGATCCCAAAAAACGGGTGGACCCGGTTCTTTCCAATGTATAAACAAAGTGTCCTTGTCCAAAGCAAAGATAGGCTGTAAGGTGTTTTCCGCCTGTGTTGTAGTCGTCACAGTGAATCAATAGGAATAGATATGAGCTTATGTTGAACACATGTTTTCATGTAATGCATTATAAACATACTTAGAATGCATTATCTGTTTATAGCTCCAGTTATAAGCACGCATATATTCATAAAGCTTTGCAAAAATAATGCAAACAGTAATTAAAAGATTGTATAATGACTTAAAAGGTAAATTATCGTAATTTTTCATAATTGCCGGTCACTTGCTGACATTTTCTTGTTGTTGCAAGAGTCATAGAGTATTATAATTCCCAAATCCAAATCTTTTCAGAATGCATTCAGATTTTTCATGCATTAAAATGTGATTATTAATATAGGACTTGAGAGCATGACAGGTGCACCAGCTGCAGAAGTCTGCTGTTAACAACACATAAAGCGTATACGGTAGTCAATGTATTTGTTTAACGGGTCATTACAGAAATTGAGTGATACAACTTTTTGTCAAACAACTAAATAATGGACAAATACTTTTCACAAATGCAATGTTTTCCCAAAAGACTCAAGCTTAACACTCCAAATAGAAATAAAACCTGGTTACATTTCAACTTCACCTCTATGGCACAGTGGAATCAGGGTCTATACTGGAGATATAATTTGGCCACATACTGTATCTGCAAGATAATCCTGAAGAAGTCCATGAATGCATTTATAATATAATTAAGAACAAGGACTTAAGAACAAGACAAGTGTATGCACTGGCTGTAAAAGTCTTGTTTAAAAGACTTTGTGACTTTATGACAGATTGAATCTGCCCTGTCTGATTTTTATCAAGCCTTTACCAATAACGTGGTCATGTACAGTTGTACAGGGGAGGAGAGACACTATGGACGCTCGTGAACTGGCGCAACTTACATGATGCCGTTTAAAACATATAATAATAAAGGGACCGAGCCGGCCTTTCTCCGCAGAAAAGCGTTTTGGCCAATCAAAATGAAATATGCGGGACATCGTCTCAATTTGCAGGACGCACCAAAAGTCGTGAAAATGCTGTGCAGTCCCGCACAAAGCGGGACATCTGGTCACCCTAAGTGTATCGTTTACAGTGCTGGATGAAGTATTTTATTTAAAATAAAATACGAAAATGTAAAAATACTACAAGTAAAAGTCTTTCAAACTAAATGTTACCTAATATAAGGAAAAGTATAGGTTCAAGGTTCAAGGTTTTTTATTTTGTCATACGAACATAGCTATAGTGTAGTTATGACGATGAAAATCTTAGGTCATCTGATCTAACCAATCAAGTATGCCTAAAGTACTAGGATATAAATAACTCATTGTGCAGAATTGCCCCTTTCAGTAATATTTTTATTTAGTTTATACAATTATTATTATTATTAGTGCAATACCAGAGCTGTTATGGAAGGTTATATCAGTAGCGAAGTCCCTCCCCTTCCCTTTATGAATCGTTTTCTGCGAAATGATTGGCCGACTATGAAAGTACTTCCTGTAAACATTGACTCTGATTGGTTCCTCGTCGTTTGACGTTCCGGATGTTGCATGTTTTTTTCCGGCCGGCTCACCCATGGATGTAGGGCTCACCGTTCCGTTCTCGGTAAAATGGCAGAGGTCGGTCATAGGCTAGGGAGCGGGGCTTACCGGCTGTCCGCCCTCAGAAACAGCCAGAGTTGGTCGGTGTGCACCGGAGAGAGTCCCGGTCCTCTGCTGGTCAACTCCCTCAGTGACAGCCGGTGTAAAGAGCAGTCAACCCGGGACCAACATCATGAAGTTCAGCCAGTGTCAAGAAGCAAAGCAACACGACTCAAACCAGAGAAACTTTCCGGAGTGACAACAAGTGAAAGTCCACAGAAAAATGGGACTTTGGGCTGTGTCAGGTATTTGGAGCTGGATTCATCCCGGTTTATCAGAGAGAGACTTAACACTTACACAACATCCCTGTACCTCTCAGCGAGGCAGCAGGAGAGGCTGCTGCCCGGCAGGATGACATCCTGGAGCAGAGGAGCTGTTTTCATCCACCCTGACACCTTCAGGTCAGGGCAGGGGTCAGACAGGTGGAGGCGTCTGAAAGCCCATCCTAATACCATGCAGGTATCTACCAGAAGCTACAGCTGGAAGAGTGACCGCAGCTCAGAGGAGGCTCCCATTATGTACAGAGCAAGGACGACTTATTACGACATCCTCAGAGTGTCCCCTGGTGCCACACAGTCCCAGATCAAGACAGCCTACTACAAGCAGTCTTTTCTTTTCCACCCTGACAAGAACCCAGGGAACGATGAGGCCACGCAGCGCTTCTTTGATATAAGCAAGGCCTACACAGTGCTGGGAAACATTGGCCTCAGGAGGAAGTATGACCGTGGGATTCTCAGCAGTTCAGATGTTCACAGTGCAGGGAGACCTTCCTCCAAAGAGACCATGAGCAAATCCTCAGCCCCCCCACATCAGCAACACTACAGAACCAGGCAGTTCTCCCAAACTGGGAAGAAGGCCATGTTTGATTTTGATGCTTTTTATCAGGCTCACTATGGGGAGCAGCTGCAGAGGGAGAAGGACATGAGAGCCAGGAAGCAGCGCCTGCAGGAGCAGAAGAAGGAGAACCTCAACAAGTGGAAGGAGGGAAGACATTTGGACTTGACTATGATAGTGCTGATGGCCATGGCAGGCGTTCTCGTTGTGAATCTCAGCATATCCTGAAATAGATGCAGCACCTTGGCGGGTGCCTCTCTGGGGTTGCATGTTACAACTCTCAGGGAGGAGAAAGAGGGGGAGAGAGAGTGCTACCTCAGACTGTTTTGCAAGTGTTGCACGGTTTTTGACAGTTGAAGATGATTTTTTCTTGTGTGTTTTTAAGGAGCAAACAAAGGCTGAATCACTGGTTAGAGGCCAAAGATTGGTATTTATAAACTGTGTCATTAGCTGATTGTTTCAAAACAGCAACTGAGCATATTACTTTTCCTCATTCATTCACTTTAAGACTGTAAAAACCAGCAGAAACAAAAACTGCAAACACTTACCTAAAAAGTGGGTGCTGAATGATCATACATCAGAAACGTCAAGAGAGAGAACATTTACAAATCGTATGTACAGGTAATATTATATTTCACTCTTAATGGCTTTCTCACCGTTGATTTATTTTAACCTAGGTTTCAGAGACATCATTACAATCTTGTCAAATGGTCACTCTCCTTATCTCAAGAAGCTGATGTAGACTGTTATGGAGGTTTAGTTTTTGTGCCATCAACATCTGTACCACCAGGTGTGAAGTTTCTGTGTCTGCACTTATTTATTTCATTTCCATAGGGACAAGTCTGAAGCCAAACCACCCTTATTGGCAGCTCTCATTGAATTCCTTTCACCCACATGCTGCACAAGGATGTGAACATTGAATGTCTGAGGCTGGAACACGCACAATCCCTTTGCCTTTCCTTACACACTGCATCTGTAATTCAGGAAATCACTTTGAAGTGTGCAAATGTAAGATTATTAGAAAAATAATACACATGTATACACCTATTTTTGAGAGTGTATCGATCTACTGTATATTATGTTAAATTAAAAATTAAAATTTATTTTTAATAGGGGTAACTGTATAAACCAACTCTCAACCAACAGTTTGATTCATATTTTTTAAATAGTTTTATTTATCAATGAAGATCATAGTTTGTGATTACCCAGAATGCTTTGCGTGTTTTTTTTTCTTTCTGCAATTCTATAAGATCTGACCTCTAGAGGGCGCCTGAGCACATCCAAATCATCATAGGCTTCAGTTGGAGGCCTCTGTGTAGTCTGTAATGGACGATACTCATTTATGGTATGGAAGTCTGCTGAGAGCTGCTGTTGTTGATAATACATCAGTTTATTTCCTTGAAGATGCTTCCCAGTAGAAACTTCCAACATGGTTCATTTCTGGGATTAAAGGAATACTTCGCCAACAGAAGGAATATTTGTCAATTACTCACGGTGTGTTACCTTGAATTCTAGGAGAATTATTTTTTTCCATATGCCTATAGTGAACGAATAATTAAAAAAAGACTTGTCTTGAATGAAAGTATATGGGGCTGAACTTTCACAACAGTAAAACTATATCCAAACATTTTCACTCTCATAATTTTTGTATATGTAATAGAAAGTAGTTAATTTAATGTCTTATTTATCCAGTTGTATTCTCAGTATTTCCCTTACTATTTAAGACAATTCTGCATAGACAGTCTTACGTTTGTGCAGGCATGCCTCTTTTAAATAGAAGATTTAAGCAAAAAATACACATGTTTTGTTAAATGTATTTTGAAGGAACTGTGAATGAAATTGAGACTTGGATTATACTTTACAAGTTGTGTGAGAGTTTGTAGCCTGATGTTTTGATGCAGTTTTGCCGTTGTTAAATGGCCCAAAACTTAAATTCATTACTTGCATGAAAGATAAATGTTTTCTTCAAGAATTCAAGGTTACATGGGTTGAGTAGTTAAGAATCAAATGGACATTTTGTTGGTAAAGAATTCTTTCAAGTTATCAGTGTTTAAACTGACTGTAGTGGTCAAACAAGTCAAACCCTTTGAACTATGATACTGCTGCACTAGATCTCATAATACAAATGTGTGGTAGCATTAGGGCCTAAATATGGAAGATAGGCTGACTCTGTTTCATTTAATAATATAAACTGAAACAAATGAAAACCACGACACCTCAGTTAATACAGAATACATACATGTGAAACAAATGATCTCTATAGAGAGCTCTACTTTATCAGATTGTTTTTGTAACACCAAACTCTTCAACTTGTTTAAGCCGTATGTCAGGCTGTTAGTGACGTGTGTTGAATAACCGCAGGAAAAAGTGCAACATTTCTTCACATTTTATTCACAGAAATATAAAGTAGTATGTCAAGTACATCACTTTGTACAAAATTGCACAGACTCTTCAAAACTCAGTCAGACAACAGAAAATGTAGCTTAAGAAGTGTTAAGAAAATAAAAGGGAGGCATGAGCAATCTGTGATATGTGAGATGGGCTCTTGCAACAGACAGGCTCCACTGAGGATGTTTCATCAAGAAGAATCAATCAATTGTACATAAATAAGACTCGATAGGAAAAATGTAATTTACAACAGCTGAGGAATAAATATGTTTCAAAAATAGGATTCAAATTGGCACATGAACTGCTCCGTTCTCTCCTCGACTGAAATTTAAATGTCACCATTGAAGCTAAATGGCCGTGCTTGAAAAGCCCAATGTTGACTCTTGATATGTTTATTCTTTCCGAACAAAAGTTTGCATATGTGTGAAGTACAGTATCTGAAATCTGGCTGCTCTCTATTCATTTTGTAAGGTGTGCCTCGCCAGTTTAAAAAGAAAAAGGTGTGACATTGTGGGAAGTACATCCCTGGGTTGGATCAGAGCATTGATACCACTCCACTGAACATGAAAGTGGTAACCATTTTCTTATTTAACTCTTGGCAATGCATTTCCAAAATGTCAAACATTTCCTTTAAGAAGGTATTTGGACTGATATTGTGTTATAGTGAATGTCTGTGATGTACATTTTTACAGTAACATGAGTATTTTGTTGTGTTTTTCTTACGAGTTAATAACTCAACAAGCCCATCACTCTGTCAGCATAAAGTAAAGCAACAACATCACATCTTCCCATTCAAACATGGCCATCTACTACCCCTAACTTACTGCCTGTCCACACCAGGCCGCACTAACAGTACCAAATACTGCCGCCTCTCTAAAAAGCGAGTCCCCGGTCCGTCCAATAAATGCTGGATTTGGTATAATAATAATATCTTCAAGGCATTACTTCAAGTGAACTCCTATATTAACAGCATATCTAATCTACAGGTTATTGATATGATAAGCTTGAATACAGAACCAGCACCAGATGGAGGGACCTCGAAAACCATGTTTTAGAAACACTACTGCAGCACAACGATCATTAAAAATATTTGAGCTCTAATACACCATCACACACTCTTATACAAATAACCCGGTATGACGGCAAAATGTAAGCCACCCGGCCGTATTCATACAAACTGAACATGTGTCCATGTACCATTTCAGAGTTTCTAAAGTGATATGTAACACAACATATGACCACCTGTGTGTGTGTATGTGTTGCAGCCATTAATGAAACTGAGAAACAAAGCCAATTCATTATGATGAGATATGCATGATCAGTGTGTTTTTAGCAGAAACTGAAGATATAGTAATTACCTGCGTAACATTTTTGGGTTTTTGAGTTTATGTGAGATGGCAAACGCTATGACCAACAGTCTATTCAAGTCCAAGGTAATTGTCAGGCACTAAGACCCTTTAGGCTGTAGACGTTTTAAGAAAAACATGTCCGAGCTAACGCTAACACGCCCATGATTGCAGAGACCCAGGGCAGGACTTTCTAGGGAAACCCTGCGGGGACAGTGAGGATATCCGGGACAGACTCAAAGCAGCTTAAAAAACATTAGGGGATGCTCTCGGGGCTCTGAGGGGAGGGGGTGTTTCTTCAGGGTCATTGCAAACCCTCAATCCTTCACTAGGGTGGTGACACAGGCTCTGCTCCCAGGGAACTGTGGGTAAGGGTGAACAGGAAGTGGTCAGAAGAAATGAATCAAAGCCATATGACTCCACTTGAAGACTTCTCTCCGCCTACACTCATCTTTCTGCTCACCATAATCTCACCACCCTTCCTAAATCAGAGACACAGGAAATTGCCTTGAAACTAAAACAAACAAACACAACGATGGGTGATCCAGTGATATGGAACGTTTTCATCATCAGCAGAGCGCCCCATGTCATCTCCGATACATAACTAAACCCACCCCGGGTCGTTTAGTAAAAAGAGTACTGGTTCTCCACCGCCCGGGCCCTGCGGGTCCCGTCAGCATCGTGGTAGTCCTCGGACGCTCCGCTAGAGGCCTCCAGCAGGCGCTCAGAGCTGTTGCTCCGGCTCTGTAACCCTCCTCCTACTCCTCCTCCAGTACCTGGGTCACTGCGGGAGAGGGAGGGGAGGGTGGTGGGTGAGGAGGAGGTGCTCGAGGAGAGCGGGGCATCAGGAGGGGGCCCTGCAGGCGCTGTGATCCCAGAAAGGTGGAGAGGAGTCTGGGCAGAATCAGTCCGGCAGCCTGTCTCCCTGGGTGGGGTCAGGACGGGAGGGAGAGACACATCTGTAGAAGGTTGCCAGAGGGAGAAAAAATACGTATAATTCAATTGAAATCAAATCAATTTGAAGAGGCAGTACAGTGCCACAATAAGATATATTAAAACAGATGAATCCATTCGGCTGATAATTGTTGGTTTATACTGAAAAGCTGCCATCTTAAGGCTCCTTCATAGAGCATGTAAACACAGGCAGTGTGGGCCTCCTTTATTATGCTTTCTCTTGGTGGGCAATAACACCGACCACACTGGTGCCAAAGACATGCCTGACCAGTGTATCAGTGAAGTCTTTTACGCCCTGAATCAAACCCTCGCTCTATGTAAGTATGTGTAGGGTAGGGAGTGCATGAGTGTGTGGGTCCAGCATTGGGGAAACAGAGGGCCTCTTTGTGACCAGCAGGGTGTGTTGGGGCCGGAGACTCGGCCTGCATGCAAAACTCCTGTGGTATAATCGCCCCCTCACTCTCCTGTACAGGAGGACATTCATCCCATGCCAGCAGAGCAGAGGGCAGGAGCAGGGCTAGTAGGAGGAGGAGGGGGGGGGGGGGCTGGTTCAGTGAGTTTTAGCTCTGAATCTTCCAGCTAAAGGGACAAGCTATTCATCAACACACATAACTTTTTGGAAGTGTCTTATCCTCCTCCATTATCCTTTTGATCTTGAGAGGTGATTGTCAATCTGAGACACTTTTTTGAAACCACGAAAATGATTTCCAACATGACAATTTTTTTAACAGTGGTGGACAAATCATTCAGATTGTTAAAAAAATATATATCCTCATTAAGATGTTGGCTTGTGTAGCAGTACAAAAGTATTAGCATCACAAAGTATTTGAAGTACTTATCCTGTACAATGGCCCATTTCAGAATAATTTTATATTTTGTATTCAAACTGATGGGAACATAAATGGATAATGACTAATCACTTTCCACACCAATTGAGGCTGCAGCAACAAAACCCTTGAGTGTACTGAAATGAGTAAAAGTATGCCTCATCATCCAGAATATTTAAAAACACCTGTATTGTGTGTCCAGAGCCCTTCACTTATAGTGGTCTGAATGTACTGACCTTTCCAGCAAACCTGATATAAAATATACCACTATTTAAGCTTCTAATAGGAATATATGGAATAATTGGTCAAATCAACATGTACGACCTCTTCAGCTAATTGTAGTCAAAGCTTGTGTGAGGTGGTGTGTGAGCAGTTTTCGTTTATGTGTTGTCTACCTGTTGATGAGCTTCGCTGCACTTGCACATAGGAGCGGAGTGTGATGTCAGCAGAGCCTCCGGACTCGAGGGGGATGGGGTGGGCGTGGAAATGTCTCAGCATGTCCGACACGGTGTGGAACCACAAGTGGTGGACATGGCACTGCCCGTTCTCATTCACCGACAAACGCAAATGCTGGAAGAGAGGAGGAAGACAGGACGTTAACAAGTGAGGGAAAGTATGGAAGAGGGAGAGATAGATGGTAAATAAAAGAGTAAAAAAAGAGACAACAAAAAGACAGAGAAGTGCTGTGTGAGAAACAGATAGAGGTCAGGACAATATCTGAGGAGTCTCGCTGTGGGAACAGAGCGAATGCCAAGGCTGACACCAGAGGAAGAGGCGGCAGCTGACACGTCCTCAACACTACCGGCTGGCAGGATGTGATGTTCAGGGATAGTATTACATAAGAGAACACAAAACATTACTGCATCTTTTCCAGGGCCAGAACAACTCTGTCTGCTATTAGCTGCTGTGGTGCAACCCAACATGTCACAAGAATAGGCATTGAGTTAATTGAACTGCAGCAGGGAGGTGAGATGAATGTTATTTCATTATTTAAATAACATAAAAATCATCAATTACAATTTGGATAACTGATTTTTTGGTTTGTTTTGACAAAAAAACAACAACATTGTTGGTTACAGCTCCTCAAATGTCAGATTCCTCCTTTTTAATTAATATCATTTACTGTAGGTCAGACAAAAGAAGCAAAATGAAGAACGATATTTTCACTCAGGCAGCATAGCAAAGCCATTTCTTTTTGATTTTCGTGTTTTCTGAACTACATTGAAAATATATCCGTACAAAACTGTTCAACCTGATAAACTACATTTATATCCCCCTCTTTCTTCTCAAATATATTACATATTGCCATTTCTCTGCTGTATAGTTGTCTCACCTTGGCTTTGCCTTGAAAGTTGAAGGTGAGGACGTACTCCCCCGGCCTCGTCTCGCTCTGACGAATCACAAAGAGCCCGTGGCTCCTGGCCCCGCCTGCCAGCACCAGCTGAGCCGCGCGCACACGGGACAGTGTACCGTGGAACCATGGGTAACTCGACAGGCTGGCATCCCCGTCCGACTCTTTGGCTCCTTCACTGCCACCTGAGTCAGAACAAATCAACGTATTGTCTTTGTCTGTTTGTTTCTAAGGATTCTTACTGTATGCTTGGATTGAGTGTCTGTGTTACCTGCAGAAGAGTTGGAGCTCTGAGCCTCCGGGGACTGGAGGAAGCGCTCCAAAGGCAT